TGGATCGATTAGGATCAAAGACATAACGTTTTAATATTTTGTACCAAGCAATTGATGGTCTTGTTGATTCACACCAATTCGAATCCATAACGTTTATAAATAACATCTCATTGCCTTCAAGCAGCATGACGATGTATCATTTCCCCATCTCTGTGTCATCCCAACTATTGATTAAAAGGTGTATAATTTGTGTTTTTATGGTATAACAAGCTCTCTTTTTATTGGATTTTCTTTTTTTTTTTGGTTAAGAATTTGATAGGAAAAAAAAACCATAGAAACTATCTTAATTCTTAATTTTTTTTAATCAATTTAGGAAAACAAGTTTACGAATGGAGAGAAAATAGGATTTTTACGGGTTTTAAAAAAATTAATCTTAACATAATGTTTAAGAGGCAAACTTAGAAAATTTTTAATTCACCGGCGTTTTTTTTCCCCAAGAGTTCTACAAGTATTTTACAATCTAGCCAATTATAAAAAGAGGATCGCATGAAATTATAAAACTACCGATAAGAGGTGGGGTTTGGGGCGAGTGACAACTGATAAGAAGAAGGAAGTCATGGCGATGGCAACGGCAACGACGACTATGGCTGCAACAGCTGCTGCTAAGTTTATAAAGAGGGGAGGGAGTACGCAAATGCTCCTTTCCAAATCCAAACCGGCAATCTCCTCCTCATTCTCATCGTCTTCATGCCATTGCTGCCACATTATTCCTAGGAAGAAACCCATAAACAATATTCCACTACCAATTTCATTTCCAGCAGCAGCACACAATTACCATCTCCATCATTCATTTTGCACCACTGCAAACGTGAATGCGGATGCCATCACTACATCACAATCAGGCGGAGGCGGAGGAGATGATACAAGTGATGATTCTAGTAGTAGTATGAGTAAAATCAAAGATGCAGGCAACCTGCTCGACATAAGGGTTGGGCGCATCATCAAAGCGTGGAGACACGAGGAGGCTGATTCCCTCTACGTGGAACAAGTGGATGTGGGTGAGGCAGAACCTCGAATCATCTGCAGCGGTCTCGTTAAATACATCCTTCTTGACCATCTCCAGGATAGAAATGTGGTGGTGCTTGCTAATCTGAAGCCCAGGAACATGAGGGGTGTTAAGTCAAGTGGAATGCTGATGGCTGCTTCTGATGCCTCCCATGAGAATGTTGAGCTTCTTCACCCTCCTGATGGTTCAATCCCTGGGGACAGGATCTGGTTTGGATCCCCTGATGACCAAACCAACCTTCCCGATCCTGCCTCTCCTAACCAGGTAATTGCCTTTTGTCTTCCTTCCTCTAACAGTGTTTAACATTCCCGTCATCATCAATGTAAATATATCTGTACTTATTTATCCCCTTACTCTTATGCAGATTCAAAAGAAAAAGATTTGGGAGTCAGTGCAGCCTCATCTAAAGACTGACGATTCTTGTATAGCAATCCTTGGAGGGGAATATTTTATGCGGACATCTACTGGGGTGGTTGCATCCAAATCTTTAAGTAATGCCAATATCTCTTGAGAAGAGAAGATCGATTAATTGTTCATGTTTACCGCTACTACTTTACTTTCTGCTAATGCTATTTTCATTGCTCTTTTCCTTTCACTGAAGAAGAAAAGGACATGTTTGTTTTTAGCTCCCTCCTTGTTGAACCTACATACCTCGTCTGACGCTAATTATATATCAAATTTCAAGTTTCTCTTATGCAGCTTCATGCTTCCATCTATGTGCTGCTTATTTCTTTCATGATGCAGCAATCTGTTCGGCACCTCAAAACTTGCCACTTCATTGGTTTTTTTTTTTTTAATTGTAATGCATACATGCTTCCATTTATAAGCTGCTTTACTTTTATTAGTGTAATGCTTACATGCTTCCATTTATGGCTGCTTATTTCTTTCATGGTGCAGCAATTTTGGCACCTCAAAACTTGCCTCTTCATTAGTTTACTTTTATTAGTGTAATGTTTACATGATTCCATTTATGGGCTGCTTATTTCTTTCATGGTGCAGCAATCTGCCTGGCACCTCAAAACTTGCCACTTCATTAGTTTTATTAGTGTAATGCTTAGTGGTTGTACATATCTAGGCCGTATGATCCGATGCTTATTTCAGTGGCTAGTTCCTCCAAAAGCACCAGCCATACAATATTCAAATGCTACTCACTACTGGTCTTAAGAAAAGGGAAATGTATGTCAATGCGAAAGTATTAAATGGCTCAAGTAGGAAACCATCAAGATTGATTGACCAAGTGGTGCCTTGGTTACACTGAAATTTGTATCAAACAAGAGGTGTAACACTTGATTTTCATTTGCCATCGATAGTCTGTTCATTTACCAGCATACCTCACGGTTAATAACTCAAGCTAAATTGCAAGCATTTGGTAGCATCTGATTTTTGTCTTTTGTATCCGAGCGAGGGTGATGTCATCTGCATAGTTGATTGCAGGTTTGGTGTATCATTGTCTTAAACTATTACAGGCTGGCAAGTTTTGGTGATTTATTTAGAAATTCAGATTTTTGCAGAGCTTGTGGTGGAGTTTCTAATGTTTACTTGGATGTTTACTGATTAGTGATACCATGGTGTTGGTTTGGACATGTTGTTTTGGTTGTTGTTGGTGGTGGGGGTGGTTTTCCTTCTCTCTTGTATTGACGGATATATCAACTATTTGGTGCATGGTATTCTTATGGTTTCATAGGTGAGAGCTGGGGAGTCTTGTTCGCTTTAGAGTTCAAGAAGGGCAATTATAGAATCTCAGGATTATTCTTGATGTGGCTGCAATTACAGAATACCCCTGACAACAACTAGCTTCCAGGTATCTTCAGTGATAAGATTACAGTGATATCAAAGTGGTTAATTCTATAGGATACAATGCTTTCACTTGTATCGACCTGAGGCCGTGTCATATTGTATCTTTTATATTTGCCATTTGAAATTTGGTATACAAACACATCATTCCAGGATGCTATCAATTCAGCACCACTGACGCAGACCTTAAGTGGAGAGCTGGTTGAGGGGCAACGGCAGCTCTTGGCCATGGTGGCTGCAGGTGCAAATGTAAATGTGGGAATCAATCAGCGAAGTTGGGGAATGGACCATTGCCTGGTTTGCATGAGATGGTATGCCTTTTTTTTTTTTTTTTGGGCGTAAATGATCAACATTCAGCAGAAGTTTCAATGCTTTTAGTTGCGTCTGACTGACTTGCAGATTTGCTTATATCAACAACCTGGGACCTGGGTTACCCTTGGCCCCAACAAAGAATTGTCAAGGTTAATATCTTAGCAGAACTACGAGGAAGCCTTCAATGTAGCTCTGGACAGAAGTGATGTCTCAATTGTTTCCTGACTGTGTTCTCAGGTATGGTCTGTGACCAGTTACCGGCAGATACCCCCAATTTCTTACTGAAGTGGAATCAAGGCAGGAATTATATACCAACTTGTCTGGCTTCATCGAGATGCTTGTAGCTAAGCTAGGACTGGCAAACCGCGTTTCTGGGTTAAGCCACAAGCAAAAAGTTGACATGCATGTATAATGTGCTCAAATTTGTGAAGAAATTGATGGATGAGCAAAACATAACTTGATTCAGCTATGCTCTACGTGATTGGGGTCAAATGCAATCATTTTGTTTGTCTGTGAGATGCAGCAGCCTTTCGATGCCATTTCTTGCATCCTCTGTTGCCACTGGTCTCCCTGTAAAAAAGCCACTAAATCCTTGTACTTCTTTCAACTTCAGAATTTAGATTGGACAAACGGCGCCAGGCACTGTTAAAGTTAGCTCGCCTAAATCAGGGCCGGAAATTATTGATTTTCTAGTGAGAGGAGAAATGAGTCATGTTTTTCTATATTTTATATTTTTTCGGAATTTTTAGCCCCTATTGACCACTCTTGACTCTTTTTATTTTTCTTATTGATACCTAACTTGGAGTGTGTACCTAGAGACCTCTTTGTCTAGGTTCATCCCCTTTTAGATGAATTAAGCTTGTTTTATTAGGGATTTATTCAATCTTAAGTTGGAATAAACTACTCCTAAAAATATAGGATTTGGCCTAATTAAACCAGATTAGGATAGTCTAAAAGGTTTTTTTTTTCCCTCTTTTTCTTCATTTTCTTTTTAATTTATTTTTTTCACTCATTTTATTTATTTATTTATTTTTTTTTATGCACCAATTCTTTTTATGTTGACTCATTTTTTATGCTCAGTTATCTTTATCCACAGTTTATAAAAATAATAAACCCCATGACAATTGGTAAAAAGACTTGAATTTCGAAAAAAATCAAATAAATAGAGAGAAATGTTTAATTTTATTTATTTATTTGTTGTCAGTAACATGTTTATTTCTCAGTTTAGGGTATGTGGCCTGTTGATATTAATAACGAAGGCATGAGGCCCACTTCATTCTCCATCATCTGTGCATATTCATCTGTTTATCAAGCGAACCTAATCAGGTTGGGTCCAATGGATCCGTCATGTTTTAATAATTGAAAGCGGGCTTAAGCCTAAGTTCTTATTTCCTTCCACTTGAGTCCAAGGCCCATTTTATACAAAATTGGATCATACCTTAAGGTTGGTTGACTAGTTTAAATCTAAATAAACAAATTCATCGGATAGGCTTGGAAAACAAAAGGAGCAATCATTATTGGCTTAAGGCTTGGTAAATTAATTGCCACTCCAGATACAATTTGCACCATAATCGTGAGAGTAGCAAATCCCAATGAATTATTATTACATATCAATAAGGAAATAATTTTGAAAACACCGTATGCCAATAAGAAGAATAAAGCTAGAATTCAACTTCGGATAAAGCACACCATTTTGTGCGACTTTATTGGACTCTTTGCAAAGAGAACACAGCCTCATAATTCTGCAAAGACAGCGAAAATATCCCCATGGATGTAATCGTTATCTACCAAGCTGACCAAAAAGTAGCTGCTCTGCACCTGCAAAAATGAATGTATAGAACATCCATGAAATGTGTGAAAGAATGTATAGAACATATATATATGCACACGAGACTCGTAATTATGGAGAGATTTACCTCTTGAAGTAGGGTTCTGGATGGGTCACCCTCTGGGTACAAGGAAGCCCATCCTCTTGACCAGATTTCAAATGCCTCATCCTTCCACACACTGAAGCTGGTAGGATCCACAACTGTTGGTTGGATAATCTCCTTTGCTGGGAAGACTCCCCAGGTCACAGCATTTACGTCAGTCAAGGCAACATTAGATATCCAACTCCCTCCTTTGTTCACAGCCATGTAAGTTACGAAAGGGAAAGCCTTGCACTTTTCAACGAGAGCATTCAACTTGTCCTTGGAGCAGAAAAACTCTAGATAAGCCTTCTGATATACATACCCTCCTGGCCCTCCCCAACCTGCACGGCATATGAGGCATGGGTTAATCGAGTCAGAGATGTCATATGTGCCTTCCATAATCATGCTAAGGCAAACGACATGAGGACTAATTTTCACCTTAGATTCTTTACCAAACCAAGATCAAAAGTCTACTACAGTCCAAATATAAAGAGAGGAGCTCAAATCTTTTACTAGTCCCTTCATATATTATATCACCAAGGTTATCCTTGCACGTGTACTTCATAAACCTCTTTTACTTTACAAATCAGAGTTATTGAATGCTAAAAGAAAACACGAACCACAACATCACTTTTGAAATTTGCAAGCATCAAAGTTAAAGTAAGTTAATGGTAGCCCTATGTTCCACGATTGTCCAGGAACTTTGCAGGAATATTGTTAGCTTCTAACTGATATAATCCTATGACATATTCGATTATAAACAAGAAACACAAACACCACTTACCAACAGATGGAGAATCAGATTTTTCCGCATTGACTGCTGGTTGACTATTGATAGTCAGGAATCCCTTCAAGTTAATCTTACCCAGCTGTTCATTGATGATTTTTGTCTCAGGCTGAAGGCCTTCTAGTTCTGACCAAGGACTACTTTTCAACTTCCCAAGGCAGTATACCTTGAATTTCTGTAAATCAAAAATTCAAAAAGATCCACATTCAAATGTGTTATTATTGCATTCCATTAAAAGGGCAAAACACTAAAAGTAACTAGACATGAAAGAAGAAAACATAAAAGAAACTGTGGATGGAAAATTCAACCTCATATATATCCTCAACACTTTTCAAGGGGACAACCCACTCTTGAAGAAGTTTCTTGCCACTTGCCCTGGGTCGCATAAACTGTATAGAAAAACAGATTACATAAAATCTAAATTTCTTTACAACAAATTTCTTAAAGCAACGCGAGTAGAGGAATGCTACAACCACAAGTAATTTAACCTTTGTCCTCATTTAGGAGTTATGTAAGAGAAAGAGAAAAGTCAAACAAAAGGATCTCTTCATTTCTGTTCAATCCATTCTCACCCTTAACTCTCTCCATCCAACAGATAATTGAGATTTGGGCATCTATCCTCTTTGCAAGGTTTGTTTCAACCGTGTGGCCAGGCACTTTGGGCAGATGAAACATTAACTTATTCTCCCTATTTTAACTTACTATTCTCCTGCTAGTAAAACCTTTATATATATATATATATATATATATAAGGAGAGGAAAAGAACCAGCAATCCAAAAAAAATCTTAAATTTGTTGCTACATGAATTTGCTATTGATTTTCCTCACACAATTAGTCTGCATGATCACAAGGAATGAGATTCAACTCCTTTATAAATAAATGCTACCTAATTTTGCTAATAATTATATCTTTTACCTTCATTTACTTAATGTATCACCTTCCCATCTATCTATTTTCTCCTTCGAGGTCAACAAAACCCCTAGAAGTGGATGTGTTTAGTCAAATAAACCCATATATCAATTAGATCACTGATGTGACAATTTATGGCAAAAGAAACACGACAAAGAACGGGAAAGACTCTGCAATGGGCCTTCTGCATTGCTCATATGATAGAACGTATACAAAAGCAACATAAATGCATCAATATACTTTGCTATACCTTACATTCAAAAGATCACTACTCAACCTTGTTAGTTATTTCTGCAGCAAACTAGATTGCAAGTGATGTAAATTGCACTAGATGGCCTTAGGAAGGGATCAAGTTCAAATTATCCTAAAAGGGAAAAAACTAAAGAATCTAGCTTAGTAAATATATGTACCTGATAATCAGATAAAGCACCATAAGATGGATTATGAGAATCACCCCATCGGCCATGTGGATACTGGTCCCAGCCTATTGTCCTTGACAGGTAGCTCTTTGGACGATTAGCCCTGCAATCATTGGCTAGAAATGTCAAATGTCTTGGAAAGGGAAAGGAGTAGCAAAGCAAAATATGCTTTTACATAGTGCATCACAAATCAATTACTTCATAAGGATGGCATTTGAGAAAAATTGTGTACCAGAATATCGGACGAACATCTTCTTTTACACGGAAAACATTTGTAGGGGGCGCCACGGCAACGACCTTGTAATCTTGGACTCTTCAATCAAACCAAGATTCTGCCATTGTAAGTGTGGTATGAGATCCAGTCATAAGTAATACTAAGAGTATTTCAAGCAAGAATAACGAATAGGACACAAGAAGAAAACCATTAATATAGCTAAAGCAGATTTCTCCATGTTAAGAGTATACAGATGCAGTGTCTTGATCCCATGAGCTAAAATCTTCTTGCACATTTCAGTTCCAAGGTGAATTCCATAGGCTCTCACAGCCTCCTCGTTGTCCTTGATAGGCTCCAATGCAGCAGTAACCTCTGCTGGTATCTACAATATGAAGTTAATTAAATACATATAATGCAGCATTGCCTAGTTTTTATGATCATATAAATATAATATATATACCTTGGTTTTGCAAAAGCCAGTCATACGTATGAAGCCCTTGTAGTTATTAATAGGCATAATACCAGGAACAATGGGACAAGTGATTCCAATTTGGCGGCAGTCATTCACAAATTTCAGGAAGATATCAGTATCATAGAAAAGTTGAGTGACAATTAGATCAGCTCCAGCATCCACCTGGAAAAAAAAACAAAGCATTAATAATACTGAACTAGTAAATAAATAAACTAGCTAGATCCGTATACATATATATTAATTAAAGACTATAGAAATGAATTTGCTTTTTCCCAAAAAAAATAAAAATAAACAGCACCTTCTGCTTCAAATAAGCAAGATCTTTCTGGTAATCCTCAAGTGTAGCAAATCCATCACTTCCAATAACATCAGGATGTGCCTCTGAATTTCATTCATAGAAACAGAAAAACAGTCAATAATTACTTAAAGAGCTGGATCTGCTTGTTAATATTCAGATTTCATTAGGGTATTTTTATTTAATTTTTGTAAGTAAGTAAATAAGAAAAGGAAGGTAGTACGAACCTGGATAACCAGCAACAGTAATGCCGAAGTAATCACCATATTTGGATCTGATATGTTTGACCTTCAATAGAAATTCAAAAAAAAAAAAAAAAGATTGATTTAGATTCTGATCCTGATTGAACACAAAATGAAATGTAATAGTATAGAAATAGAGGTACTAACGAGGTCGAGAGCGCAAGCGAAGCCGCCTTGAATCTGGACGAATTTATCCTGACCATGAGGAGGATCACCACGAAGAGCGAGAACGTTCTGGATTCCATTGGATTTGATGGTTTCGAGAGCATGATCGATCTTCTCAACAGGCATGTTGGTGCAGGTGAGATGCATCATAGTCTCGACACAGATAATGTTCTGCATCTTATTGGCGATGTCTAATGTCAGATCTGCGGTGGAACCACCAGCTCCCCAAGTGATGTCGCAGAAGGATGGATTGTGAGACACCATTCTGTCCATTCTTTCGAACAGGTTGTCCACTCCATCTTCTGTCTTTGGAGGAAAGAATTCAAAGGAGAAAACAACCTTATTATTACTGCTATCTCCTCCATTGGCATTTGCATCTCCTCCTCCTGCTGCAGCTGCCCTTATCTTATCAATCACCTTCATTTTTCTGTTTGTTTGTTCCCCCTGTCTCCCCCTTTTCGGTTGGTTACCTAACTTACGAAGACAAAATGCGGAGAGAGAGTAAAATGAGTTAAATTAAAACCACACCGACAGCAAAAGAGGGAGGGTGGGTTTAGGTTTGGAGTAGTAAAATTGAATGATTTTTAGTTGCAAGTTTATTTTCTATTTATAAACAGAGATATTCAACTGTAAGCGTAGGTACAGGTACAGCAGCACCAACAACCACGAGCCTTTGAAATTGGAATCGCAAGCTCAGCCGAGGAATTGCTTGCACCACTCCCACGCCTGTACTTTTACCACATTTCGAATTACTCCTATATAATAATAATAATAATAATAACGACAACAAGTCTACTTATTTTATAGTTTAATCACAACATTATCATATTATAATAAGTAGTAGTAGTACTACTACTACTATCTATTTACCATATTTTGACCCACTTGCACTTGAACCGGATGAACAGAACGAACATTCTTTTGGAGTGAGTAACTAAAGTCTAGCTAAAAACTAAGCACCCATTCTTTTGAAAAATTAATTACAGTGAACAAAAGCATAGCCACCCAACCTTTAATAACTTGGTTTAAAAAATATAGGATCGTTTTTTGAAGAAATTCTCTTCTTTATGTCAAGATCCGACTAAAACAAATCCAGCATGAATAAAAATATAGAGTTTTATTCCTTCAAATTCAATTTTACCTCCCCCATGTTTTGCACGCTTGTGCGAAATTCCCTTGCGGTAACCATCATTCATCCACGCAAATGCGAGTGAGCGAACAAAATGCCAGGACAAACTGATAATATTTTATTTATTCTTTTTTGTCACACTAGTCGATAGTTTATGATCTTCTACGTGGGGTATTAAGCTCAAATATCTGATAAATTAAATTCTAACTTTTGTCCCAAAAAGAAAAGAAGAAACGACAAAGGTTGGCATCATGAGAGAAATTCTTGCATCCGCTCGTCGCTATCCTTCCCTACTCCCATTGTCCCCACCCCCACCAGCACCCAGAGACCAGCGGAAATGGATGGATCGGGTTGGTGGGTAGGACCCACCAAACCTACCCCCATTCGCCTCATCGCCAATTCCTCGCTGCACAACCGCAACAAGAACCGAGTAAACTAAACACATCGTCAACTCCCCTCCTACATCAATTATCTTTCAAGGAATGCCATCTTCTTCTTCTGTCATGCTCGCACATATTAGGACACAAACCAACAACACAACAAAAATAGTATACGAAGATCCTTCCTCTTACAATAGTCAACAATATCATCTGCAAACCTCGGTCAGTAAAATGTTTCTGAGAGCACTAATGTTCCCAGATTAAATCAAAAGATCAACCTAACTCTCCAAATATCACACACAAAAAAAAAAAAAAAAAAAAAAAAAAAAAAACCACTAAAAACTATTAACCAAAGAGTAATAAGCCATATCCAATTTACAAAGAATAACTAGAAGTTTTGTTCCTTGGCTGAATTCAGTCCTGATGATTCTAATGGCAGAAAGCAAATCCACATGAGCCTTTTTATCACCCCTTGCCAAGCACAAATGCAAGAGATATCATTCAACCACCAATTCTCTTTCACTTCCCTCAAGTCTCTTACCCCACTGTAGTAGTCACAACTCACAACACAAGCAAATTACAAACAAATCTTGTTTTACTTGAGCACAGAACCGGCCCAAAAAACACTGGTAAGTTCCCGATTTATCAAAGAAAAAACTAAACCAAAAAATACTTTTGATACAGCATTCTGCTAACTGTAAACCTGTACAATCAAATCTTGTTTTACTTGAGCACAGAACCGGCCCATACACTTGATGCAACAATTATGCAAATTTGTCAGGTTAAGTCAAGCACTACGTCTGTCCACTGTTGTTACCTGCAATACAGCTAAAAGATAAAAAATAGTATCACGTTGTAGTAGTTCATCATCTACAATCTTTAATTCGACAAAAATCATGATTACTTACCCTGGAATTAAATCACAAAGTTACAAAGTCCCAATCTTCTTTTGACATGTCAAGAAATTTAACAGTGCCATCTTCAAACATGATCTGCGAAAAAAGAAATGTAATCATATATGATTATGACACTCATTCACGTACAAGTAACCAGAGAAACAGCTCTTCTTACCGAGTGTTTTCTTGAATACTTGTCATACCGTTTGATAATCCCAAAATATCTGGAACAATCAATACATGGAAAAGAAAAATGATTAAATAGAACCACCACATATACAAAATATCAGAACTCAGTTTTTTATTGAACCTTTAAATGAGAATTCATGAACCAAAAAAAAAAAAAAACTGGTAGAAGGAGATACTAGCCAGCCAAATTCAGCAGCTGTTGCGTTCAAAGGTTTGATAAAATTAAGGTGTCCACCAAACCAACCATCTAAAACACCAATGGTGCTACAATAATTATCTGAGGTTAAAAATCATAAAGAAGATGACTTGAGACTTGTTGATCCTGAACTGCAAAGTCCTAGGACCATTGATGGCATGCTTTTAATTGCATTCCCTGCACTCAGCAGGAGCTGAGGATAAGCGACTCCTTTGTTTTAAATTTCTAAACAAAAATGCCATGGCATTCTTCTGTCTACTACTGATTAATATTCACCAGGGAGAACATAGAAACGACAAGCCAAAATGTAGCTCCCCTGTGGGAAGTGGTCCTTAATTCCAAGTCTTTCAAGTTTTCTCTCATCATCAATCAAAACACATTCAAATTATTACTTAGCAAAATGGATGAAATCCTGAATGATAAGTAGTATTCTAAACATACGTCTGATCAGTGTGGCAAGATAGTCTAACCACTTCGCCAATGCAATTACGGGAGTATGTTGGCAGACTACCTAAAGCACGTTGCGAACTCCCTGAGATGAAATTAAAATTGACAAAAAGGAATAATGTTCAGATAACCATATTTCAGAAATTTTGCAGCCATTAAATTAACAAAACATGGTAACATGCTGAAGTTACCTATGCGCAAACCTCCATTCTGATAAACCTTCACCAATAACAATACCAGCATCAGTCTATTTGCAGAAATATATGCATACGACAGAAAAAAAAAAGGTAGAAGCTGAACAGCATCATATGTGTAAAACCATACGTAAAACAGCCATATATACATACATCTGTTCCAGACAGAATTGCTTTAAGTTTGGGAGAGGATACCGCCACCTGGCATGCTACTAGTTTTAAGGCAGCATCTGAAGACATCTTAGGCTTGCTCGCCTTAACCCCTAGCTTTTGCCTGCAGCCTGAGGCACCACAATGGCAATCTTGATCTGCACCAAATTGAACAAACCTGCTAAATTTATTAGACTGGACTAAGTTTAGATTTTGAAGTAAGAGCTAAGCCAAAAAAAAAAAAAAAAAAAAAAATGTCCAAGAGTGTTCACTGTGTAAGCAATAAAAGACTCATCCATAATTAAAGAATGCAGTAAGAGTAGATGCAAGCACTCATACTGATAATCATATGTCAGATGCTCGCCCTTTTTTATGTCACGGGTTGCAAATATGCCAATTCTTGTCTCGCCATCAATTATCCTTTAAGAAAAATGGTAAATCTATTAAGATCATCAAAAGCAGGTAAACCTGCAAAGTTAACTAATATTATTAAAGTTAGGAATAAGGGTCAAGGACGAACCATTTCTGCATCTCAGTATTAGGTGAACAGCTGTGGTTTATATATCTTGACTTGTTTCCCTTGTACGTGGCATCAATTACCATATCGCGATTGATCTCACACAAGTAAAAGTTCGTTTCCCCACGGTGTTTCATTTTCCAAAGCCTTTCCTCACAGGTCTTATCATCAATAACTGCATTGAATAATAGATCAAGTATTAATTAATAGGTTGCCAACGTGATGAAACACGAACTTGTTAAATATGCAATTTCAATTGAATAACAAGCAGCGACTAGAGACATAACCTTCTCCAACATACTCTATTACAAACTCTCCTTGTTTAATATCTTCATCTGCCACAATCCCAGATCCACATTTGTCGGTCTACAAACAATACCTTATTTAACTTCATATTTTGAGTGCACATATAGGTAAAAACAGATACTTGCACAAAGCAAATATATGCAAACAGAAATCAGAGCACTATGGCATTTGAACATCATCCAAATAATTCATGTGGATAAAAACACTTATACCAACAGGATCCTTATGGTTCTTCTTTCCATCATGCAAAGCATCACTCTTGCTCCCTTTCATCCTTTATTAATAAAGTCCTTCTACTCTACATATTAATTGAGACAGACCAAGAGAAGCCATAAACATCTACCTGCACTAATTTCATCTTCTTCACTGGCCGGTGCTGGAATGGTTTGTTGCTGCATGAACTCCCACATTTGCAGCCTGATGAGCAGCTAGACAGCAGCATCCTTGGAGATAAAAAGTAATTGTAGAGTTCTTAAACTATTAAAGAAGCTTGCAGATAAATGAGAAACTTACCAATAATAATACTAACATTATAACACATATAAAGCCACAAGAAACCCCCTTAACCACACACCTCCAGTGAAGACAACAAATGGATAAAAAGAAGAGGCACAACTAAACTATTAAATAATAATTGCTATCAAAGAAGCTCCCAGAGAATTAAAAACAACTGACGATAACAATTACATAAAGGCTGCATAACATCCTCTTTAAGTCTTAAACAGTCTGCTCCAATCACCAAAGACAAGGCAATGGATGACAGTGACCATGAACATGGGAATGTTTCTTGTGATAGTTACTCACTATGAACTCAAGACAGCTTCTGTTAAATTAAATGACCTCGTTATGACAGCTACTCTGGTACCAACACTAGATTTAGGCAGGATTAAGCACATGTTTCACAGAAAATCAAACTCAAGTATAAAACTATTTCACTAACCATATCATCCTGCTCTGACAATTAACAATCATCAAACTTAACTACAGACTTATTTTGAACTCTCAATTAGTAACTGTACTAAACCGTGAATATGCACTCAGCAAGGAATCATCGTATCAACATGAATACAATGTATTACTACATTGGGTAGAGCTTGGGTTCAAGTCAGGAAATACTCAATGACCAAGGGCTGTGACTCATCAATGTGCACTTGGACAGACCCAAGTTTTACGTATTGTTTTGAGGGGATCTTTATGCAGAACAAGTGCCATTATATTATCTTTGACCATAAAATTAGTATATTTTTTCACCTTTGGGATGGGTAGCCAAAGGCCCCCTTTGGCTCCCTAGATCTCCCTGCGTGTCAATGTTCTGAACAGTAACTCGTGAGGGATTGGCTACCAAAGGTGCAAGTGTGGAACCCAGGACCCCAGAAACTTATCATAAATAGGATGATGTACTAGAGCACAGCCAATGAACTAGGAACAAGTTACATAGGCAATCTGACCTAAAAGTGGCATCTCCAAATTTCAATCATGTACCATCCAATAAGGCTTGTAAATAACATGTAAAGACTGAAAATAAATTTGAATTCAGTAAAATTAGATCAAACTACCATGATACTAGATGAAACCTGATTATGAACTGTTTATAGCATGGAAATCTATCATATATAGCTTGGCATAACCATGATATTGAAGGCCCACTCTTACCCACAATGGCAATCTCTATCACACACACAAGAGGAACCCGGTGATGCACTGCAGGAGCAGAATATGCCATCGTCCTCAAGACGCCTTTTAATCCTCTTGGTGAGATATATATCTTGAAAGTGTTGATCAAGAAAAGCAAATGTGATATGTTTATACATGAGGACAGACATAGAAAGAGAGAACCCAATACTTTAAAAGCATGTGGACATTATGAAATCAAAAGGAACTTTCAACAATGGAAGGAAAAGCAAGACACCGTAACAGCTTTTGTACATCGAAAAATGAATGCTAAAACTATAACCCGCATAAAATGGCTTTAAAAATTTAAATATTTTTTAGTGGATACTGCGCTTTATAACGGTATAGGCTGTAGACTTTGATTTATTAAATGAATCCGGAAGCTCAAACTCAACCTGATTTCCTATCTCCTTCAGCAACTTGTTGAATGCAAGGGTAATCCGTTGATCAAGGTTCTAATAAACAAAAGAAATGGCAAAAAGCAATATGTCAAAGAATTAATTATAATAATATCCAAGAATCAGATGAATCCAATATATTAATATCTCTAAAAATCATACACAAGAAAAAAGATTAGCTAAAAGAGCACAGCCATCTATAAGAAAGTTTGAACAAGTTCAGAAAAAGGGAAATTCCAAAACTCTCTCTAGACTGTTTGATAGAAAACATATTATGTATTGTTGATCATTGAAGATAGCTAAAGCAAAAAACCAGTCTGAAACACCATAAATTGCAAGGTAACGAATCTCAAGAATAAAGAAACAAAAGAAAAGGATGGCAACAGAAAAAGGAAGTAAAGAAGAAAACATTGCCACAGTAGTATAGCAAATAGTGTTGCTGCTGCTGCTAAAACTAAAACTAAAACCATGTATGAACAATTTGTTGAAGGAAAGAAAGCTAAAGTGAACCAACTATATATATATAAGTTCAATTTACCAAGTCATATGAATAATTTTTCACTGATTATAGAAGTCTTGCTTTTTGCTTAAAAAATTAAACTAAATCAAATTTTGATGCCAAGCTAAAAGAAACAAGAAAATAGAATGAAGAACATATTAACCTTCTTTGCCGCAGGCATGGCTTCAAGTAGCATCACCGCTCAGAATAGATAACATAAAGAATGTTATACCTACATACATGCAGCATTCAAAAGGAAAAGAGTGAGTCAGAATCTAAACATAAAAATATCCCTTTTCTTTTTTGGATTGAAAACAAGAAATAATAACAATAATAATTGGGTGTAAAGATTCAGAGTGTTGAAGGCAGGTTTAACTGAGTAGTAGTTGGAAAAATAAAACCTAGAAATCTAACACCAGGAGCAGGACTCAGTGAAGAGTAGGCAGTTATAACAGTGAATTCATTGATTCAGTTCATGAGAAATCAATTACCAAAACAAACAGCGAATATTTTAAACAAATAAAAAACTAAAAGGAATATATATAAATCTCAACTTGTCTTGTCTTGGCAAGCCAACAAGAAAAGTTAATAGTATCATTCGCTATTTTATGGATAAAGAGAAGAGAAGAAAAAAAAAGAAAAGGAAAAAGGAGAAGAATACGAGAGAGAAGAGATTGCGTGTGGCTTACCAGGAGAAGTAACGAGAGCAGATCTTACTCTTCTTCTTTCTGCTCTTGCTCTGCTTCTTCTTGCTCTTGTTCTTCTTCTTGTTGAGAGGGAGAGAGAGATTGGAGAGGGAGTGAGGGAGGGAGGGAAGTTACTTCTTTCTCTTTGTGACCAAATATTACCCGACTCATGAAATGGACAATATATGATATATTATACCACTAATTAATTTAAATTTGCTATTTTACTTGGTTCTGAAATTTTTTCTGATTTTTTTTCCATTTTGTAAAATTCTCTAAAATAATGTAATCTGGTTTAAAAAATTGTGTTATGAATTATAGAATATTTTCTCTAACCTAGATGAACACAAAACATATCACATGACGTATAAAACATAAAAAATTAAATACAAGTAAACTAATTTACATTTAAAATATATAATAAAAAATAATTGATTGTTCTGTAAACCGAACCAACAAAGTTTAAATAACAATAAAAAAAATTAAACATGTTCTTAAAAAAAATCAGTTTTTTTGTACAAATAAAACTAATATATTTGGTTTATTGTTTTACTTTTTTCTTAAAAGATGATTGATAGAAAATGTATCTCATTTTTCTATAAATTATTTAAAATTTTTGTTTTAAGAAATATATAAAAAAAGTATAAAATATAAAAGGATCCACGAAATAAGATGATATTGTATGAAATAAAATATTATTAAATCAAACATTATTAACATTAATAAATGGATTAAATAATTAGGTTTTGAGAAAAGGACTAATTAATTATTTTTTTGAAACTAGAGGGACTAATTTATAATTTACTCTATTCCTTCCATCATTTGTATTTATCTATCTATGCGTTACTTGGCTTATTGTTTTACTTTTACCTTAGAAATGCGCCGGGAGAAAGTGTATCCCATGGGCCTGGCCTAAATGATATTGAGGCCCACAGACCGGATTGTAAAACAAGAGAAGGGTAAGCAGAACAGAACCAACACCAGCCCAAATAGAGAATAACACCAGCAGGAGTTGGTTACACGTGGAGATTGCAACATGGAGGAAATTGAAAACGACAAAACGAATGAAAATAGTTCATCAATCATCATTATTTTTCTTAATAAAACAAGGATCCTATAATTCCAGCCAGGTCGAGGGGAAGGAAAGAAGGCTTTTGTTTTGTCCTTGAAATTTACAGAAAGTCAGTCAGTTGATAAAAAGAAGGAAGCGAGGAAGGAATTCCTCAAAAAAAAAAAAAAACAGTAGTAGTAATCTGGCAGCAGAATAAGTTCTTATATTCAAAAAATAAAGTTTTTTTTGGGTTTATGTTTTGATAGTTTGTGTGTCTTTTCCCTCTCCAACTCTGAAACACCAGCCAAGAAAAGCAAGGATACCTCTCTCCCTTTCTCTCTCTCTCTCTCTACCGAGATCAAAATTTTCCTCAAATCGACTCAGGTATTTAACTCATCTCTCTTATGTATATTTTATATTTATTTGAAAATTAATTAATTAATTTAGAAGGAATGAATTATTACGGTTTCCTTTTCTTTTTTCATTGATTAGTTATTGGGTTTAGATTTAACTTATATATATATAGAGAATTACTTGCTTAGCTTCTTTTTGCAATTTTTTATTGAATATAAGATTGTGTATGCTCTGTCGGAGTCAGTATTATTTTGATGGAATTAGCTTTGTTTTAAAAAATAAATCAATGGATGAATTTTCTTTTTGATCGATGGATGGAAATCTCAGACTGAGGAGGATGTTCATTTCTTTTTCATATAATTGCCTATTTCCATTTAGCCTAAGATTAGAATCAGGAGTTGCCAATTTTTGGGTGCTTTTTTTAATGCTTTCGACATTTTCATATCAGAACCATCCAAAAGCACTGAAAAAGGCATCGATTTGGTACTTTTTTAGACCAAACTTCACTTTGAAAGTGAAGCACTTTTCAAATGCATTGCCAAACGCAACCAAAATTGTGTCATTGATTGAGTAGTTCAAAAGCCTGCACATCATATTGCCTTTGATTATGTTTACTGGTAAATAAATGTCTATTCATTATTAGCCTGCTCTTCAATTTTAAGACATACCACAATCCTTTCTTATTTATTTATTTATTTATTTTTACTCAACACATTTGTATGTGCTTAACTTTGCTATGTGCTTGTTTGTATTTTTCAGCTACACAGTTTTTGTTTCAAAGCAACTGTGTTTCTCTTTGGATTGTTGACAACATTCTGGTTGCGTCTATGAGACGTTTCTATTGCTCCATGCTGCTTCATGTCTAGGTAATGAAGGGTTTTCGTGAAAGGGGGTTTGTTGCTTCATCTAAAACTACTACAACTGACACTCCAAATAGTTCTTTCATATCTGGTTCTTCAGAACCAGGGTCCATCGATACTAAGTTTTCCAAGCCTTCTTTGTGGTCAAGCTTCTTTGCATCTGCTTTCTCAGTCTTTGATACATATCGCGACTCATCTTCAACTAGTGAAAATAAAGCACCTCATAATAGACACAGTAATGGTTGGACATCAGCTGTGAAGAAAATTGTGGCAGGTGGCTCAATGAGGAGGATCCAAGAGCGTGTGCTAGGGACAAGCAAGACAGGGATATCTAACACAAATAGTGATATATGGCTTCTAGGTGTGTGCCACAAGATTTCACAAGATGACTCTTCTGGGGATGCAGTTGCTACCAATGCTATAGCTGCATTTAATCATGATTTCTCTTCACGAATTCTAATCACATATAGAAAAGGTTTGGGTTATGACTCTTTATCTTTAAGTGAAGCTTTAGCAGGCATAGTAATTATGATTATGGGGAACTATCTTAAAACTGTTCATTTATAGGTTTTGATACTATTGAAGATTCAAAACTTACCAGTGATGTAAACTGGGGTTGTATGCTTCGGAGTAGTCAGATGCTTGTTGCTCAGGTACATTGCTTCTGAATTTCTCACATCAATACTTCTATGATAGTTCAATTATTTCAGTTGGCTTCCGGCCCTTGTTCAATATATGTTTTGTTATGGTGCTTGCATTCCAGTTAATCGGTGAATTCTCTTTCCTAACACTGCAGGCATTGCTTTTCCATCGATTAGGGAGATCTTGGAGAAAACCATCAGCCAAGGTGAACCTATGGATTTGAATTCTCATGAATTTGTTTCTCCCATCATTCAACTATGAATTAAAGATAAATCTGATAACACTATCGTGGATCACATTTCATCCTTCACTTTTAATTATGCAGCCATTGGATCGAGAATATGTTGAGATCTTACATCTTTTTGGTGATTCGGAGGTATCGGCTTTCTCTATTCACAATCTTCTTCAAGCTGGAAAGGCTTATGGCCTTGCAGCTGGGTCATGGGTAGGCCCTTATGCCATGTGCCGCTCTTGGGAATCTCTAGCCCGCTCTAAGAGAGAGGAAACCAATCTCGAATACCAATCACTTCCAATGGCTGTTTATATTGTTTCTGGTTGTGAAGATGGGGAGAGAGGGGGAGCTCCAGTTCTATGCATTGAAGATGCTGCTAGACATTGTTCAGAGTTTTCTAAAGGCCAAGAAGATTGGACTCCAATTCTTCTATTGGTTCCATTGGTTCTTGGGCTTGATAAAATAAATCCAAGGTCTGTGATCATGTTCTATATCTATCTTTCATGTTGAAGTCATCGTTGCTTGAGCTGGGAAATTGATTTTCTTTGTTTTGATGCAAATTATACTTGATATACAGAACTCTGTCTTGCTCCATTGCCTTGTTGCTTTGATTTGGTTTAATTTGCTGCTTTCGTAGTGATTAAATTAAGGAGCATCCACTGCATTCATGATCTGTGATGCTGTGTTTCATCATTTAAAGCTCAAGAACAGTTGAACATGTTGTGCCTTACCAGAGCCTTGTTAAATTTCCATGATAAACATACTGATTCTATTAGACCTGGTTGGCTGGATGTGAATGTTTCTGGGAAGCCTTTGATTGAAGTGTTGGGGCAATTAATGTGAGTCCTCAAATAATATCCACTTTCTTAACTACCTTTCTCACTTAAATATCAATACTTCGGAACCTGGGGATGTCGTTGAGCATCTATATGCTAGAAGAAGTTTACAGCCAAACCTTTTATCTAGTGATGGACTGAAAAGTGCACACCTTGATTTCCATTTTTTTTATATATTTGTGGGGTGGTTCTTTAATTGGAAAAGGTGCAATACTGCATCGACAAAATGGATTTTGGTTTAGGGATATTGCCATTTTTTATGGTGGAGAGTTTCGATAGGATGGGCCTGTTTTTCTTGTGTAAGTTAGTTTTGCATGAGGTTGCACAACGTTCGTGCAGGGAATGGGAAAATGCATGGTATGATTATACATTAAAAATAAAGCACCTAATTACTTCTTATTTCACTGTGTCCCCAGTTCTCTTAGTCTAACCTAACTTTAGACTTGTATTTAAGTGTACTGTCATATTTATTAACCAGTTGGAATTTAAACTGTTTTCAGGTATATTCCATCCCTGCAGGCAACATTCACCTTTCCCCAAAGCCTTGGCATTTTGGGTGGGAAACCTGGTGCTTCAACTTACATTGTTGGTGTGCAAGACGAGAATGCTTTTTATCTTGATCCACATGAAGTTCAGCCGGTAAATCATAATTCTTTCTGATTTATCTATCATCACATATTGTAAATGCCTAACTTACTCATTCCTGTGTTATTCGATATTTTTATTGAAATATTTTTCTAATTTTTTACTTCATTTCTCCTTGTATAGTGTGATGATATACCAGAAATCAAATCCATATACCTCATTTGAATTTTCCTTCTGTTTAATGAAATTATGGAGATGCCTCCTTTAGTTTCAAAATAAAACATGACTACCCATGGCTGTGCTATCTGTGCAGACAGATCAAGCTGATAGACACACTAAAGGGAAGTCAAATTCAATTGCTCCTTTTTATTGCGATCGATTTTGACTGCTTGCTGGTGTTTTCCCCCACATATGCAGATAACCCGGGAATCATAACTTCAATTCAGAACAAGTTTTTAAACAAATTAAAATAGGGTACCTAAAACAAGAGAGAGAAGCAAAACAATGGAGGAGCATGCATTGGATCCTTAATAGAAAGGACGGGGTTGATATGAATCTGAGAAGTAGTTGAAGTTAGAAAAATGCTGAAAGTCTTATGACACCAATCTGTTGTTAACATTTTACTATAAGTCTATAACAGGCTCCTTGACTGTGGGTCAAGGGTATTTTATACTTGCATGATAATAACACTTCAGGAACTTAGTAGGCTTTGACATGGGCTAACATGGCGATCATGTTACTGGGTGTTAATAGTTGATGCCTTTTAATATTCAACATTTATACATTTTATGTGATTTACAGAACCCATTTTACAGAAAATCAAGGTGAAACATATTTTCTTATGTTACTTTTATATTAGTCTGTAGTTTGGAGGATAGGGCTAAGCCTTGGGTAAAGGAGGATTAACAAATCTGACTTTAGTCCTTTTGATGAATATTAGGAGCTAATTAGCGACCAATGCGTGTCTGGCTAGTGGCCCTAAAAGATCTCAGTCTGTGCAGTCCATTGAAGTTCATTGCAGTAACCAAGTCAAACTACTAGTGATTTGTTTTGCACTGATTTGTACCCTGTGGTTATCACTTATTTACAATTCGATTGATTTCTGCAGCATGTATGGCTGTAATGTAGGTAACTTCACTGGTTTACAGGGGTGAGCTAAGATACTCGTCTGATAGGATCTTTGTGAATATTTATTCTATGCTAATTAGTGAATCTAGTTATATATTTAGTGGAGATGTTATTTTGTTTAGGAATTAGTGCTTTATGATATCTTATATTTTATATTAGGGTTTCATTAGGGTTTAAGTCCCTACATAAAGGCACCAATCTACTATTTTGATGTAGCTGGAATGGTTATTGATAATTGAGTTTTCCATTTTTCTTTGTATGTCTGTTCATCTGTCTCCTTATCTCTCTCTCTGCTCCTCTGCTCTCTCTTCCCTCCTTTCCTTCACGGATTGCAGCTTACTGCAATACTAAAATAATGGTAATGAGATGCTTAGAAACTGTTATATAACGTAACGGCCGTTATTTAAAACTAAGTCTTTCCTTTTTTCCTCCATCATATTCTGTCCTGCATCTCTGTCGTATTATGCTCTCTCTTTTCAGTTGGCATTTCCATTAGCCACAAAATTTTTCCTCTTCCAAACCTAAACTGACAAGGTCTCTTGCACATCTTTGTTCCCTTTTCTCTTTCTATTTCCTTCTAATTGTACCAGGCTGAATTGTGATATTGCTGCTTACTTCCCATCCATTGAGTTAATTGTGCTCAGATTAATATTTTGATGATATCCTTGTTGGTGCTTGGGTCTTCAGGTGGTCAATGTTAGCAGAGATGATGTAGAGGCCAATACTTCTTCTTACCACTGCGAGTAAGCTTATCCAAGGACTCATTTTCTTGTTTAATTACCTAGGTGAACTAATGTTTTTGACTTTGCTAATTTTTTTTTTTTCATAATTCATGCAGTGTTGTGCGTCACATTCCTCTGGACTTGATTGATCCATCCTTGGCAATTGGATTTTATTGTCGAGACAAAGGTTGCGGGTTAGATTAGATTGGTTTATGAATATGTTATTTTAGCTTTCCAAATGCAACATGTTAACTAGGCATTGTTTTTTCACCCCCCTTTCTTGTGGACAGATGATTTTGATGATTTCTGTTCGCTGGCATCCAAGCTGGCAGACGAATCAAATGGTGCACCGTTGTTTACAGTGGCTAATTCCCATAAATCGTCAAGGCATGATAGTAGTGAGGTTCGAGATGATGATTCCCTTGGTGTGATGACTATGAATGATGCAGAGGGATGTGTAAACGAGGATGACTGGCAACTCCTTTAAACGTAAACCATTTGGGGGGATTGGAAACTAGAACATCCTTTGGATTGTACTGAAGTTGTATACCCTTTTCCTCGGCACCTCTTATCGGCAGTGCAATTAGGAGTTTATTCCACTCGTGCTTCAATTCCCGACTCCTCTTAGCTGTTGGATTCAACATTTGTAGAAAGCACACTAAATATTTATGATTCTTTTCAATCTTTTTACGGTCTCGAAAACATTTAACATAATTGCGAATGTTGTAAGATAAATGATTAAATTAAATCTCATTTGGTTGATGAAACATTTCCTTAGTCTCTTGTTGGTTTGGCCCAAAGGATGGAGAGTTTACCCAAGACCCTCCACTCAGGGCTGGTATATTGGTTCGATAATGATTTTGAAGTATCAATTAGCATTTGGGAGTAAATCACAGTAGTAATGGTAGTAAAATAAAACTATCCACCAGCATTCCATTTCTAACAATTTTCATCACATGCATGCCTGCGTACTGTACTTGCATAGAAGGTTTTTTTGCTTAACAAAAGAAAAGGAAATATTCAGCAAATGGGGACATCGACTAAAGTTCAGTTCCCTGCTATTGACTCGTTCCAAGGTGATGTCTAGTTAAAGGGGTACAAAGTCCAAAGTACTGCACATATGGAAAGAAAGATGCCCTAAACTCAGATTATGAGAGAAGAAGCGGAGTATGGAAAACCAGAAAATCCCAGAGGAGTGTGGATGTGGTTCCACTTGATGGTGCCATTATTGCTATATCCATCGGAGATGAATGCCCCTTCACCATCACATTCGCCACAAGCTAGTGTTGACGATCCCCTGCCACCACCGCCACTCATTACAAACAGCCGATGCTTATTCTTATGATTCCCCCTTCTTGGCCAACATAATCAAGAGTAGTCACACATGGGGTTGTTCCAGTAATGCAATTTGGAAGTGGAATTGAGCTGACTATTTCCAATCTAATGTTGTCACCGACCTTGACTACTTCTCTACTTTGCTGCTGCTGCTGCGACTGTTGTTCGCTTCCCAAGAACCACAACCATTGGTGTTTGTCCCTCCTGTTGACACATATTGTAGTCGTGGCTCCTCTAGGGCTCGTACTCGAAAAAGGCCAAACCCCATCAACCTTAGACCAACGCCCAGTATAGAGATCGTAAAACTCAGCATCAGACCTGAATTGCCCCTGGCTTTCCGTGCCATATCCACTCGCAACCCAAAACTTGGAATCCCCCTCCCAAGCCAGTCCCTGACACTCATCCCTCTCTTCAATCATATCAGGCAACATTTTCCATTGATCTGTCTCAACGTCATAGACCTCTGCCGATCGCAACGCATTCTTCTGACTATCATGGCCTCCTGCGACGCACACTGTAGAGGGTCCAATGACAGCACAAGCGAAGAAAGAGCGTGGCACTGACATTGAAGCACCGCGTCTCCACTTGCAGGCAGCTCCAGTAGTTCCAATTAAATCCAGGATGTATACATGAGGGACTGGCTCCAGGGTGGTGGGATCCCAACCACCTAGGAGAAGTAGCTTGCCAGAGGATGGAAGGGCTAAACATTGGCAGAACATAGGAATTCCTGATCCCTCTGTAGGCCTTGTCCTCTGCCAGAGATTATGCGTGGCATTGTAGATGCTCAGCGCATACTGAGGTGGGCTGTGGATGTGCTGCTGCTCTCGCTTGTCTTCGTTTTTTATAGTTTTATTGTTGTTGCTATTGAGTGGATCATCATCATCATCGGTGGTAGTGCTGGAAGCGTGTATTGGGGGAAGAGGCTGGACAAGGCAAACAAGATATTCGGCAGTGCCAGATTTGAGCCTTTGTTGATGGAAGGAAGGATGGGACATCAAGTGTTGCCAAGTATGGCAAACTGATTTCATATTGGAATGGAATTGGTAAGGCACTCTCACCATGCACTCCATGGCAATCTCATCTGGCAGGCCTGGAATCAGCTGCTGCTGCTTTTGATCATCTTCTACTGCTTTTTGTAGTTTGAAACTACTAGTCTTTGTTTCTTTTATCATTTCCCCCCTTCTTGTGAATAATTTCTTGAATTCAACAAGTGTTTATCTTCGAACGAGTAAAAAATAAAATTGCTAGCTAGCTGGACCTTAATGGAGACTACTCCGGTTTTTATGTCGCGGACATATATAATTGAGACGAACGGTTGCAGAGTCGTGATTAATTTTCATGTGTTTGCTTCAATTGGGTTGGGTTGCTTGAAGGAACGAGAAAAGTTGAAAATGTTAACTGCTTTAGCTAGCTATAGTTAGCAAGTAGCAGCAGTAGTAAATATGTAGGGACATAATATATAGCATATAGAGTGAGAGAGAGAGAAATAGAGGTATGGCCTTTATTTTGAGGACTGAGTTAGCAAATGGTAGCCGTGAATGAAGGAAGTGCAGTGAGGTTGTGGTGGCTTTATAGAGGAGAGAGGGTTGGAGCGGCGTTGAGAATTATTATTTGTGAATGAGCTTCGGTGCTTTGTGGTGGTGAGTGATGAGTAAAGCAGGAGGGTGAGGGAAGAAGACAAGTGAGGGACTGGGAACACGCATTTCCACAGCTATCCCATTAATTAAAACGTAATGCCCACGTAATAGCCATAATAGCTATTCTCCGTTGTCCTTTGTCAATGTCATGCATGCGTAAACTACCTTAGCTTTTATTGTTTAAATTAACGGGCAGTAACTATCACTCCGACTGATTTTTACTTTTTAGGAAAGGAAAATGCAGAGATAGACATGGATTTTTTACTTTTATTGTTTATGTATGCATGTCAGCTTGGTCTTAAACAAAAATACAAAACAAAGGGAGGACCTTCTTCTTCTTTTTTTCCCTCTATATATGTAAGAGAATTGACTAATTCATGTTTTAAAAGTGATTTAAGTAAAGAAAGAAAGGGCTTGCCTTGATTCTTGAATATGATTAGCTAGCCAGTCATTTTTCGGATTGATTATTTTCTCATTTGGATTATAACGTGAAAGAATCTAGAACTTACAATTAGAGAAGATGAAAGGTCAGAGAATATAATGATAATAATAATGAAGGTGGAGCAGGACAGCATTAACTGTTTTGGTGAATCAAGCTCATGAAGGCCCCACGAATTGGAAGATGAGGAAAAAAGAAAAAGAAAGAAAACAAGGGGCCTGCATGCTTCAGCGCTATTTGCAAAGGGTTGAAAGTTCAAAGGCGGTAGGGGTAATCTGGGTAAGGCAAAGCTGGGCAACTCATTTCTCTAACTCGAGTACTGATGTATCGTTGACGACAAACCCCATTGATTTCGTATTCCATGGGGAAACTTAATTGGTAGTGCCCAAAGACAAACTAAAAAGCATGCAAGCAACTGCTTCTAGAAGCCTTTTCCGAGATTCCCTTCCTGTCCTATCAAAAATTGCAAGAGGCAATTGAACAATTCAAAAAAAGGAGAAACAATAATTTCACTCGAATCATTTATTTTATCGAGATTAAGCATAAATAAAAATCATGGCTATAGATATTTCAAATACGGAAAGCAAATACACATATTTCTATTCATTTCCATTTCTATTTAAAACGATTACGACTAGTGATGGTATTTCTGTTTAGAAAAAGCAAGAGGCACTAGCTTATAGTAGTGAGCAAGTAACCATCACGAGATGATCTTTTTTTCTTTTTTTTTAAAGTAGATCCAAAAGAAAGAGAAGTAAAGCAAAGGGTTCTAGAAGGGGAATTGAAAGCGCGGGGCAGCGAAGAGGAACTGCCTCTGGCTGCCCCTTTCTCTTTTCGTCACTCCATCTTCATTATATATAATATTTATATATATAATCAATTTCCATTAAAAAAAAACAAAAAGGAGACAGTAAATTAAAAAGAAAGAAACTTGCATGTTCTTGCTTGATCAATGTTGTCTTGTCAGCAGTCACCGTGACTCATCAGCTAGCTCATGGATCATGTCGGCATTTCACATCAATGGACTCAAACCCTAACACACGCTCACAAAACGCAACCGCACTAATGCTGGGAATTTTTTTTTTTTTTTTTGCATGAACGTGATAATTATGCGGTTAATAACGGATGATATCGATAGTCGGTTGAAGCAAAATTAACTAACCACTAATTTTAATATAAATAGAGAGCATAATTAATTATAGAGATTGAAGATCAATGTCATCTCCAATGCTACTCTCTATTCTAACTCTTTATGTTGACAAAATTCATAAAATCTAAAAAGATTATTAGTAAAGAGACCGAGTGGCATAGAAAATAGTAATTTTCATTAATGAAATATAAGATAAAGAATCATTTGAACTCTTTAATATTAAAGAAGTCAAAGACACTCTAGTATCTCAATTTTAAAGATAGAGATTACGATAAAGAGAACATTGGAGATGGAATTTGAGTCAAACCTCTTTAAGTATAAAGAAAAATCTTAATATAAAGATAACGTTAGAGATGCTATTGAAAATGCATTATGCCATATTTATTATTTTACCTTAATTAGAGTATATATTATATTATATATTTGCAACGGAGGCAACTAACGTTTTATGGTTAGAGAATTTGTAGCTTCAAAATCACTTGCATTTTTTTCAATTTCAATCCCCAAACGTTTTGTCCAACAAGGAAGTACGTGTGTCTTGTATCACCTACTTCTTAATTAATTACTATTTAGAAGCAAGCGTACGTGTGTCTCTGTGTTTATGTTCGATGAAAGTGCCAACTAGCCAATTCCACTACATGAAAGTAACAGAAAAGAAAAGTGCTGGCTACCTAGCTCTGTGTCAGTACTACGTCAAAAAGAGACGGCATCAGGGAATAAAATAATGACAATAAATTAACAACTCTTTCATTGAAGAAAACTTAATTGTATATATTATAACGTAACCTGTCAAATCCATATTAATGGACCTCGTTAATTATTTCTTGTGCGTACAATCCAAGCAATCAATAATTAACGTACCTACTTGATTAATTAATTATAAATTAATAAGCATGTGATGCCAGTACTGTGGGCTAATAAGCCTTGTAGATTTTCATTGAAGAATAGATGTGCGACGACATGATGATGAGTGCTATATATTTATATTACAGTAATATTAATTAAAGAAGCAACCTGAATTGTAACTTCGAATTTTAGGGTTGTGTAATTCAGATTGGATTACATAATATCCATAGCATGTGCATAAATCATGCAGCATGATACCCGCACCACTGTCCCCTTCCTCCTGCAGAATCTTTTTTTTTTTTCTTTTTACTAAAAAAACTATATGTCATCGTGTATAATTAATTCTGCTGGCCCTGACTTTTTCAAAATACTTCCAAAAATATATATAAATAAAAATAAAGGAGATGATATATGTTATATAAAAGTAGGTCCATTGAATTAATTTGGAGTGACTCCGTATGAGTGGAATGTATGTTTGTTATTTATACGATGACGATGATCATATGGCTTTTCAATCTGAATTGAAGATGTTAATTAATTTATGTATATAATGATGATCCATAACATGTCTTTTTTTTTTCGTTCTTAATACCAATCGCCATCCGGATCTAGGAAGAAATATTAGGGTGTGGGTTTCAAAATCCAAAGGCTTAAGAGTTAAGCCCATACATTAGGTTAAGCGTGTAGTCTGAATTCGGAATCTGGCCGATGCTACAAGCCTGTCAAGGTTGGACCCATGAGTAAAAATTAGGCCCACATCTTTTGTTGATTGTTTTTAACAAAATTGGCCCAAGCCCATACATTAGGTTCAGCGTTTAGTCTGAGTTCGGAATCTTCCCGATGCAACAAGCCTGTTGTGGCTGGAGTCATGAGCAAAGTCAGGCCCATTGCTTTCGTCGACTGTTTTTAACAAAATTGGCTCACGCCCATACATTAGGTTCAGCGTGTAGTCCGACTTTGGAACCTGCTCGATGCTGCAGGCCTGTCATGGTTGGAGTCATGGGTAAAAGACAGGCTTAAGTCTGTTGTTGATTGTTTCAACAAAATTGGTCCACGCCCATACATTTATTAAGCGTGTAGTCCGAATTGAAAACCTGCCTCTGCTGCAGGCTTGCATGTTTGGATCACGCGAAGATGTCAAGCCCAACTATGTTGTTGATTTTTTCAACAAAATTGGCCCAAGCCCATATAGTATGTTTAGCCTGTAGTCCGAATTTGGAATCAACTTGGAATCTACCCGACGCTGTATGCCTGTCAAGGTAGGAATCATGAGTAAAAGTCAGGCCCAACTCTGTTGTTCATTGTTTAAAGAAAATCGGCCCACTATTTCGGGGAGTTTCAAATTTTTTGCATATTTCATTTTTTCCCCTTCTATTCTGAAAAAATTATAAGCATTTCCTCGTCTGGTTAATATTAAAGTAAAGCCTGGCATCCGTAATGAATAATGCAAAGATGAATGAAGAAAAAATAAACGCATGTATTTAATAAACCCGATTGCTGTCTCTGGATAAGATATCTATTTTTAATTAGGCCCATGTACAGGCCCATTATAACACGTAAAGGGTGGTCATTTTCAATTGAGGTTCTCTAATAAGTCAGGTCCAGCCCATTAGAGATAAGAGAAGCCCAAATTCTCATTTGAACACGTTTGGAACCTCAATGCTTTAGCCCATATATTAAAGCAGGCGAGGCCGAAGTCTCATAAAGTCAGGCCCAACGCTTGATTGATTATTTTAAGAGGATTGGCCAGCACACGGTGTATATTAGTAGTTCAATTTTTTTGCATTTTTTTGGTCCTTCCATTCTGAAAAATTGTATGCATGTTGATCGTATGTTTAATATTAATGTAATGTAAAGCCTGCAACCGGTATTGAATATTGGAAAGGCGAAATAAATAAATATATAACACATGTATCTAATAAGCCCGGTTGCTTGGGTTCTGTAGTGGCCCAATATTAAATATACGCGGCGCCCATTTTCAATTGAGGTTCGATGATAGGACCACAAGCACCGTATAGTCCGACTTCAGAACCTGCCCGATGCTGCAGGCCTGTCATGGTTGGAGTCATGGGTAAAAGATAGGCCCAACTTTGTTGTTTGATTGTTTCAAAAAAATTGGTCCAAGCCCATACATTTATTAAGCGTGTAGTCAGAAATTGAAAACCTGCCCGATGCTGCAGGCTTGCATGGTTGGATCATGTGTATCTGTCAAGCCCAACTCAGCGGTAGATTTTTTTTTTAACAAAATTGGCCCAAGGCCATGCATTCTGTTTAGTGTATAGTCCGAATTTGGAATCAATTTGGAATGTACCCGACGCTGTAGCCCTTTCAAGGTAGGAATCATGGGTAAAAGTCAGGCCTTTCATGGTAGGAATCAATTTGGGTGCCCATTTTCAATTGAGGTTCGGTAATAAGTCAGGTCCACCCCATTAGAAACAGATGAAGCCCATATTCTTCTATTAACACATTTTGAACCTCAAGGCTTAAGCCCATATATTAAACCTGGCGAGGCCGAAGTCATGAGTAAAGTCAGGCCCAACGCTTGTTGATTATTTTAACAAAATTGGCCCGCACACGGTGTCTACTAGCAGTTTAAATGTTTTGCATTCTAATCTGAAAAGTTATATGCATTTCGATTGTATGTTTAATATTTAATGTAATGTAAAACCTGGCACCGGTTTTGAATATTGGAAAGATTAAACAAACAAATAACACATAACACACGTATTTAATAAGCCCGGTTCCTCGGGTTAGGCAGTGGCCCAATATAAAAAATAAAGGGCGCCCATTATCTCGTTCACAGGTCAGGCCCACCATCAGAATAGGCCGAGCTCAACACGAGGTCTGTCTAAACGAAGTGGTGCAATCACAATTTCCATTTCATGCTTTGAATTTCTTTTTTCTTTTTTTTTTTCGGTGCAGGCTATGTAAAACTCTATACTATCCATGTCATGAGTGATAACTGGTGGTAAGATATTGATTGACTTAAAAATCCACCATTTTGTTGGTGACGAGCTGCGAGAAGCAAGTTGGCTTAGTCTTTTTGCAGTCACCAAGAAGAGGTCGCAGGTTAAATTCCTTAAAAAATACTAGAAATTAAATTTGTATATCTTACATACAATTATGATCAATTTAGCTATGAAACTTGTTGTATTGGTCAAAGTCAATTGTTTATCGTGAAAGATATTAAACTTATCTCTCTTATCTTCCACACTAACAACTAACCATATAAACGGAAAAAGAAAGAGAGAAAAAAAAAGACTGCAAAACTAGTTCAAATGCGAGCAGTTTGAATCCGTAAGAACATACAAGTTATAAATATATGTTTTTAATTCTGATATTGTCGAGCAAAAACTGACGAAAATGAAATGATGATGAATAATAAGTGGAAACTCATGGTGTGAATGTGAGAGGCAAAGTAGTTATTAGTGTCTGAGTGGGGGAGGTGCACTACCATCCTTTTCAATAATGTTTTTTCTATGAATTATGGACGACAGAAACATTGCTGGGCTGGGGCAGTTTTTGGACAAAGTCCTTATGTTGTTCCGTCATCAGGGGAGCAATTTCTAACATTAATTATTAATATATGGCAGAATGAAATAAAAATAGATAAATTGAGAGCACATGCGATTTACCTCTTCCTTCACAGCGTCTGAATAATTTGGTGCTGTGACGTAGCACGCCATCCATAAAAAACACGATTATGTGAAAAGCACAATATTCATCGTCAGTCAGTTATATAATTAATCGATCATTCTATACAATCCTAAATCCTTTTTTTCAATGAATATTAACGATGATGATGATGATGAATATCAAAATTAACGGTTCAAATAGTATTTCTTTGTCATTAAGGTAATAGATATTAACATTAGAAAGACTTGTGCTAATTTCTTCATTTAACCTTGTCTGATTTTTAATACGTGTGTACGTGTTTTTGTCGTAATTGGTAATGGAATGCACGTATTCGAATATCATACCATAAAATAATAAATAACTATCTATAGTATAGTTTGAGATATCATCTCAAATGTAAGGTGGACGGACAATATTACATGATTTGATTTAAATTAATTGTCGTGTCCAGATCGTGGGACCCAAATTCGATCATTAACGTTAGCTTCAATTGCAAATGGATTCAAGAAAATAATATTATTATTAATTATATAAAGAAGGAAGCAGGTGCATTCATTCGTCGAATGAGTCCAATTGTCAACTTCCTCAATCCGTGAACAAATCTTTACACACTGTAAAGTCTATGACAGAGTTATATACACAATGAAGAATCCGTCATTATTTGATGTCCAAAAATCAAAGAATCCAATCCAATCCAATCCGAGTAATAAAACGCGGTTTTTTCCATCCTTTTTCTTTGAAGAGAATATGCTTTTCCATGGAAACAAACAATCTGTTGTTTCTAATTACACATAATAACGCGGTTTACTAATTATTATATCAACTTTACGCTACATTAATTTGCAATTACCATTTACTTTGAAATCAAACCAACTCTCCTTAATTCCAACAACATCCAGAGTAATAATAATTTTTGTTCTAATTGATGCAGCAGCAGGCATAAGATCTTTTCAAATGCTTATCTTATTTATATATTTATATCATCCATTGATGCATCTATTACCTTAACGATGAATGGTTTATACAAAATTGATGAATTAAAAATTTGGCATCAAGGAACTGGAACGCAGCAGGAAGGCTTAAGGGTAGGTTGGTAATTTAGGTCCAAGCCCACCAATCACGGCGCTGCCCCCTTTATCCCGCGCTTGACCATTGTGCTAATCCCTCCCTCCCCATTCAGACACAAATCAGAAATCCAGTGGGGGCAGCCAGGAGGACAAAGGGGTCATTTCAGTCGAGTTTGAAATATTGGGACCACTACTCCTCCTCGTACTCTTCTTTGGTGCTCCTTCGGAAGAAAAAGAAAACTACACTTGTAGTAAACCCATACTTCTTCTTTCTTTTTCTCTTCGTTTTTTTTTTTTTTTTTAAAAAAAATAGTATTCTGTCTTATTAAATTTGTTTCCTTAAATATATCCCGCCTGCTGATCTTCTGTCTCGTTCCATCAAATTGTTGTGTATATCCAAGTTAATAAGAGAGAGAGAGAGAGAGAGAGAGAAGAGGAATTGAAGAATATTAGAGGCGCATCAGCAGCAGCAGATCGGAGGAGGAGGAGACGGAGAATAATACAATAGTATAGAACAACATTATGGCAGAAGGAGGGACAACCCTGGAGTACACTCCGACATGGGTCGTGGCAGTGGTTTGCTCTGTTATTGTTATTATTTCTCTTCTTGTTGAAAGAATCCTTCACTACCTTGGCAAGGTCAGCCTCCATCATCTCTTTCCTCTCTTTTCTTTCCGTTTCCTGATCGTCATTTTGTTTTTTGTTATCGGTTCTAGTATTATTGATTAATTTATTTGTTGCCATCATCTCTTTTGCTTTGTATAGAAATGTACATATGCAGTATATTTTGATCAGTATGACAAATAACGTTTGATCCCTTCATTAATTTGCAGTTATTGAAGAGAAAACACCAGAAGCCGCTCTTTGAAGCCTTACAGAAAATCAAAGAAGGTAGATAAGTATTGCTAATAACAGTAATTTAGGATCAGCATATATTCTTATAATTCATTCGGCATGCAGATCGATGTATCACTATAAACAAAGAAGTTGAATAATTTGATTTTTGATAATGCAGAGTTGATGCTTTTGGGGTTTATATCACTGCTACTGACAGTGTTCCAAGGCAGAATTAACACTATCTGCATATCTGAGGAATTGTCAAAGAAAATGCTACCCTGCAAAAAAGAAGGCGAGGGAAGCAAAGAAACCACTGCACACTTCCAGACCTTCTTTTCTTTCTTTCCTGGTGGGGCTTCCAGTCGCCTTTTAGCCGAGGCTTCCTCCGCTAATTCTTGTTCCAAGGTAATTAATTAAATATTTCTACTCTATATTCTTATTTTTGTTGTTCCTAGTAAAAGTGTTGGTTTGCTGATCTAATTTTAATTTGGATGGAGTGGTAGACAAGGCATTGTCGATATTATGCTGATCCACCAACTCCATTTTTACTTCTTTTTTCTTTTTCTTTTTTTGTGTTCTTTGAATAAAAAAATACCTCGAATTAGATTGCCATGTTAAAGGGGACAGGCTGGACTTGGGAGAGCCATTTAATATAATATCAGATGACTAGCCAGGTTGATAAATAGATTCTACGCAATATTAAAAACTGAATTTGGTGATTAATATATATTTTAATCTTCTCGTGGCTAGGGAGACGTTCAGGCCTCAACTGAACATGTTAGGTGCTTAATCTGGATTATTATAATGTTAATTTGGCTTTCTTCTCCTAGCCAATGAAATAGAAGAGAGTTTTTGACCCCTTGTTTGTAAATATTGGAATCTCTCTTTCTGTACTTATTTTAGTCTCGGCCTTCACTCCATCCACACAACTACATGCAAGCACAGTACCCTTCTCTAAACTGGAGGAATCAGGTCTATATTAGCTGCTTCTAAAATTTTCAATTTGTTCGTATCCGTGCAGCAGAATTTCATTACTCACGACATCTCCCCTGCATATTTATAGCGATAAGACAGTTTTTAGTTGATCTTCAATGCCATGCTCTCCAATATTCAGGATATTGTTCACTGTCCCTTAATGGTGTTTGAAAGCTGAAGCCCTGTGCAATTCGACCTGACTTTGTTTAGTATAACTTGCACATCCCTTAAAAATATCAACTTTTGCTTCGTCCTTTCAAGTATGCATTAAAGCAAGCAGCATTTTGTTGCATAATAGCTTCAATAAAAATTTGAAATGCATCAGAAAACAGATTTGACAGGATTATGTGAATTCTTGTGTGTCCTAAGAAATAATTCGTAACCTTTTTTTGGCCATGTGCTTTAATGGTGAATGCATATTGACAAGTAAATGCCTAACATTTTCTCTCTTTGATCACATTCCAGGGAAAGGTTCCTATTTTATCTACAACAGCTTTGCATCATCTTCATATATTTATCTTCGTGCTCGCTTGTGTGCATGTGGTTTTCTGTGCTCTAACCATTCTGTTCGGAAGTGCTAAGGTAAGTTCTTCATATTCATTTGCTGCTTCTTCTTTTTTCCCTTCTAAAGTTTGCATTATTTTCTGATCCCTCGTATTGAGTAGTGTTTGTTAAAAATGTCTTCTTCGGTGCAGATAAGGCAATGGAAAGTTTGGGAGGATTCTATCTCAAATAGGGAACAAGATCCGGAAGGTAATACATGTTAATAGCTTACGTTTGGTTATTCTTCTTTTTCTTCCTTTCCTTTTTTGAATTCGATTAGCAATTATGTCCAGTGTGTGTTAATCACATAAACTGACAACTTGGAAGATTTAAATGCTTGTTCTCCTGAGAATTTTGTCTTAATTATACTGATTTAACTTCAGACTCAAATGATCCAACTCCTACATTTTCTTCAAGAGCCAATTCCTCCTTTTGTTGATTTTCTTCTTACACATGCAATTGTATTTTCAGCTCAAGGTCCAAAGCTTACGCATGTTCAAGACCATGATTTTATCAGGAACCACTATCAGGGTTTTGGAAAGAATTCTTACTTTCTGAGTTGGGTGGTAAGTCCTTTTATAAGTATGACAAAACACTTACTTATAGAAACTACAACAACTTGGAGTTGTTCTACTCTTGTCAAATTTCCCAGTACCATAAATCTTCTCATCCAATTATTGGATTATGATTTTGATATCAAAAACTGCTTTACAGTAAGTGAATTGAAATATGTCCTGTCTGAGGATGAATTTCTATAGATTAAAGGTTTTGATAAGTTAGTGTTTCTCCAAGACAACTTTTCCATTAATTGTGAAAAATTCAAGCCAACGAGAAGCTCTATCAAACGAAATAACTCTTAGCTGGAAAAGTATCCTCTTTATGCAGAATTAATGGCAGTCTTATGTAGCAAAAATCAGTCAATGGGGGATGATAATCTTGAATGATCATGTTGTATGAACTTCTGATGATACGACATTCGTTGTTTCAAGAGATCGAATCTCAAAACTGACTCCTTTATTTCTAATGGCTCTTTAATTTCTGCTTTTCAGCATTCGTTTTTCAAGCAATTCTATGCATCGGTAACAAAATCAGATTATATAACATTGCGACTTGGCTTCATAATGGTGAGTTCGGAATCTATTCATTCAAACTCCTTAAATCCGTTTTTATTTTTATTTTTTCATATTTGTATAAAGAAAAAGTCAAAAATTTGTATTTTCTTTGCATTTTTAAAGATTTTTCTTCTACAGACTCATTGCAGGGGAAACCCAAAGTTTGATTTTCACAAATACATGATGCGAGCCCTTGAAGCTGACTTTAAGAAAGTTGTTGGAATAAGGTTAGTGATTTTTTTATGCTAAGCCTATGCAATGTAAATATTAATTCATGGACCATTACTTCCATGGAATTCCAAACTGGTGGTTTTACATTTTCATCTTTTTCAAAGAGCATATCATCATTTTATAATTATTTCGTCTATGTAAAGGGAATGTACTGATTTCTGGTTTCATGGGCTGCAGTTGGTATCTTTGGTTATTTGTAGTTCTCTTCTTGTTCCTGAATGTTGCTGGTAAGCTAATTGGTTTTTCCTTTCAATTACCAGAGCATCATTTTGCACCTTTTATATTAAAATCCAGAATACCATTTTTATGCAGCTTAATGGTGTAGAATTTGGCAGTTAGTATAGTTTCGATGAATTGTGCAATTTAGAATCAAAAACTCTTCTAAGAATAGAGAAAAACCAAATGCAAAGAAGTTATGATTGCTAAAACTGAAGATGTTTGAAGGACAAGCAAAGACCTATTTTATTTTCCTCACTCCTAAAACTGCATTGTCAATTTGCTGATAAGAAATAGCTAAGCTGATGCCACATTCTCTGTTTTCCATCCTGACCTGCGGTATGAAAGTCATTTCTGAACAAGGAACGATATAATTCTTATTTTTCTATGCAGGTTGGCATGCGTATTTTTGGATTGCATTCATACCCTTCATTGTAAGCTGTCAAATCCTGTCCTGCTATTAGATTGTGCCTTTTTCTTTCCTATATGCTTTTGCTTTTATTATTCATGACAGAAGTTGATGAAGAATTGTGCCCTTTTGGCAGCTTCTACTAGCTGTGGGTACTAAGTTGGAGCATGTAATTACTCAGTTGGCCCATGAGGTTGCTGAGAAACATGTAGCAGTCCAAGGGGATTTGGTTGTTCAACCTTCAGATGATCACTTCTGGTTCAACAAGCCTAAAATTGTTCTCATTTTGATCCACATCATTCTATTCCAAAACTCTTTCGAACTGGCATTTTTCTTCTGGATATGGGTAAAGACACAACAATACACTTCCTTACAACATTTAGCAAATGACTACTTAGATATATATGACATTTTACTCTATCTATAACAGGTGCAATATGGTTTTGACTCCTGCATAATGGGACAAGTTGCTTATATTATTCCAAGGCTCGTTATAGGGTAAATTCACATTTATGTCTGTTGTGTTTTCTACCATATATAAATGCACAAGTTCTAATTATATGCTTTGTTTGAATGCCAATCCCATCTTTTAGGGCATTCATTCAGTTCGTCTGCAGTTACAGTACCCTACCACTCTATGCAATTGTGACACAGGTAAGCTAGATTTTTTTCATCAGAAGCTGTTGTAGTACCTAGGAGTCTTGTGTAAAAATAACCCACGATGTATCTGTTTCCTTTTTGTAATGCAGATGGGAAGTTCATTTAAGAAGGCAATATTTGATGAACATATTCAAGAAGGGCTCGTGGGTTGGGCTAACAAGGCAAAAAAGAGGACAGTGTTGAGGAAGGCTGCAAACGGGTCTAGTCATAGCCAAATAACTCACAGAGAGGAGTCTCCTCTGATTCAGATGGCAAAGGCTGAATCAAAAGAAACTGCAATGGAAGAGAACAAATCAGGAGAGATTGTACATGGAACTAAATGAACTACCTTGGGAGGCACTCAAAGATCAATGTACTTGCCAACTGTCTAATGTATAGCAGGTAGTATATAAGCTGAGAGAACTGATGTTTTTGACATTAGACAGCTAGTAAAGAAAGGGTTGCAATAGATTTCTCACCCAGAACTTGGTTTTAATTTACAAACGAAGTCTATATTCCAAGTTGCAGGTTCACTTGTGATATTGAAATATTTTGCTTCTGTTAGTATATTCAAGAATGCCATTTTCGAAAACTGTTACCTGTATCAGTTGAAAAATAGGAAAAAGGGCAGCTGGCGTATATTTGTAGACGGAATTGGCCACTCAGTGCTGCTGAATTTTCTGTTTTTTCAATAAAAGAAAGCTTCAAACAGAGAGATGCTAAAGCTATATCTTCTCTCTTTTAGCTTGGATTCACTTCCAAGTCTCAAGCCATGTTCATTAAGCTATCTTCTCTCTTCAAACAGAGAGATGCTAAAGCTATCTTCTCTCTTTTAGCTTGGATTCACTTCCAAGTCTCAAGCCATGTTAATAATATATATATATATATATATATATATATATATGAGGGTTGTTTGGCATTAACAAAGTTGCTGGCAATGGGGGTGGTTTGATGGAGGCTTGACTTTGATAGTTTCTAGAATCTTCTTCGTTTTCTGGAAAGTGCTAGGATCGTAAAGCTCCTTTTTTAACAGACGGAAAATATAAGTATAGACATTTGAACACACGTTTGTAAAAGTAATCGGTGGTTCAGGGTTGGGGTTGAGATATTTCATGAGTTATATTTCGGTTTGTAACCTTGATCTGGACTTTTTTTTTTTGCTTGATTTTTCCTGTGACATTGCGACGCCTGAGTTTGCATCAGTCTGAAACCTTGATTTTTCCTTGAGTTGCACTAATCTGTAAGAACCATCCCAATGTTCACCAGTAATCCTTACAAGAACAATAACCATCTCTAAAATGGTGAAACCGGCTACAGTCCCTTACAACAATCTCTCTTTCGAAAACCTTTGATATTAGTTTAATTGCCAAATGACAATCTGCACATACTCTTAAATTCTTAATGATCCTAATTGGGGTCCCTGGCAGTGTATTAACGAGCATAAAAGCAATTGCAATCTTCTCGCTGTGATAAAACAGAGCACTTTCCTTTTCTTCCTCTTCGATGTCCGCAAGCACATTTGCCGTCTGAGGCACGTAACCTGCCAATCTCAACTTCTTTGCTATCTCCACCAGCATTTCATATATTGCCTTACTTTGAGGATGAGTCTTATCACCCATAACAAATTCATGAACTTGATTTCCCAACTCTACAAGGCTATGCCCTGGAGTTTTTCTCACTCCTTCATTAAGCATCCTCCTTCTCACCTCATGCACATCTGACCACCGTTGCTCCGATGCATACAGATTGGAGAGGAGCACATAATCTCCACTCTCTTTAGGCTCCAAGTGTAGTAGCTGGGCTCTTGCAAATGCTCCTAAACCTAAATGCCCATGTATTGTGCAAGCCCCTAATAAGGTCCTCCAAATAACAGCATTAGGCTGCAGTGGCATATCCTGAATATATTCATATGCTTCTTTCACCAAGCCTGCTCTACCTAACAAATCAACCATGCAACCATGGTGTTCCATTATAGGCACAATCTCATATTCCTCCTTCATCCTTCTGAAGTAGTGAAACCCCTCATTAACCATACCGCAATGACTACAGGCATACAAGACCCCCACAAAAGTGATCTCACTAGGCACCAATTCCTCTCTCTCCATCTCCTTGAAATGATCAAGCGCTTCTTTACCGAACCCATTAACAGCCAATCCAACAATCAGAGAAGTCCAAGAAACCGCATTCCTCCTAGTTCCCATCTCATCGAAAATCTTGTGCGCTTCACTAATGGTTCCGCACTTTGCATAAAGGTCCAAAAGGGCATTACTAGAATGCAAATTCGTGTTTAAACCAACTTTCACCATATACACATAAGCCCTCCTGCCCAAAGCCAAAGCAGCAAGCTCGGCACAGGCAGACAGCAGACTAACCATAGTGAATCCGTCTGGCTCAACACCTTCCGAAACCATTTTCTTATACAGTGTTAAAGCTTCATTGGGTTTCCCATTAAGAGCAAACCCATTAATCACAGAATTCCAAGCCACAATATCCTTCTCAGGCATAAATTCAAATATGTTGTATGCACTCTCGTATCGGCCACAGGCAGCGTACATGTGTAGCAAACTGTTTTGAACGAACAACAATGATTCAAACCCATTTTTTGTAACATGGGAATGTATCTTCTCACCAGCTCTAACATTGACCACCTTAGACACAGCCTTCAAAAGAAAAGGAAACGTGTGCGTGTCAGGTTTCAGTTCCATGTGGTTGTACAATTCAATTGCTGGTTTTGGATTTTCACTCTCAGCATAGCCCCTAATCATAGTATTCCATGTGAAAACATTTGGGCTTTGGATGTTGGTAAAAATGTTGTGTGCATAGTTCATAGGAACTGAAAGGGAAACAGCAGCGTATATAAGGTGCTTGCCCATGTCTAAGTTGGTCAGTGGGATGCCATGTCTGATAGAAAAGGCGTGGATTTGTTTCAGTTTGAACTTGGAAGAGGCACAATTTTGCAAAAGGGCAATGCATTTTCTGACAAGGTAAGGTATTCGGTTATCTGGACAGGTCGTGGGGTTTTGAGGACTGGATGGTTGGTGGAGTGATTCGAGTACATCTTCCATCTCTGCCGCATATGTTTACTTTGTAAACTTATGATATATATATATATAGATATATAGATATATAGATTGATGTTTTTTCAATATCAAATATTGATCAGAGGAAAAAAAAAAAAAGTTATTTACTTTTTGTGGTTGTTTCTGCTTAGTTAATTGCAAAGTTTTTCAAAATCAATTAGCAAAAAATCAATGCTCCATCACTTATATCACAGTAAGGGGTACATGTTATTGGCATCAAGCATCAAAGAATCAGAGATAGCAACAGAATGTAGCCATTTCATTTCTTCAATTAATTCTTCCAAGATTTGATATACATTTTCAGAACAGGGGTGGGATCGATCTTCAGCCTTGAATGCATGTACCTCATTCTTCACCTCTATCCAACTCCAACCAGGAACCTTCTTCACCTTCCTCTCCCTCATCAGCCTCGTCACCCAGGCTTTGTCGTCCCACCTCCTAAGATGTCCGTACATGTTTGAGAGGATAACATACGTGCAGTGCTCTTCAGGCTCGAGCTCTAGCAGCTGGCTTGCTACCTGAGTAGCTAACTCGATGTTACCACAAGCCCTACAGGCACCCAGTAGAGTTTTCAACACCATTGCATTGGGTTGAAATGGCATTGAATCAATCAAGGCTTTTGCCTCGTCCAGATATCCAGCACGGCCAAATAAATCAACAGCACAAGCATAATGCTCCATCCGAGGTGGAATCCCATAGTCAGATGCCATGGATTTTAGAAAACAGCGGCCTTGTTCGACCAGTCCGATGTGGCTACATGCAGTCAGAACTGCAACGAAGGTTATATGATCCAGCTTCACCTTTCTCCCTCTCATCATGGAGAAGAGGTCCAGTGCAACATCACCCTGCCCATGTTGTGCATATGCAAACATTATTGAATTCCAAGTAATTGAGCTTTCTTTTGTGGTATCTTCAAAACATTTCCAAGCATCTTCAATAATTCCACATTTAGAATACATAAATATTAACGAACTGGCCACAAAATCATTCGAGTCAAATCCGGTCTTAACTGTCAAGAGATGAATCTGTTGGCCTAATCGGAGGGTTGCTAAATCCGAGCAAGATCTAAGGACAGCCGAAAAGGCATAATCATCAACTTCCACCAGCGAATATCTCATATGCCAAAAGAGTTTCAGGGCATCTTCACTAAACCCCATTTGTGACAACCCAGTTAAAATGGAATTCCAAGAGACACGGTCCTTAGACTCCATGGATTGAAATAAGTTCAACGCAGCTTCCATGGATTTATTATTCGATTTGAGGTACAAAGCTGTCAATGCATTACAGATAGCCACTGATTCTTCCAGTCCCCTCTTTATCACCAATGCGTGAAAGGATTTCCCAAGGTTTTTATGTGATGCTTCAAAACAAGCACTTATGACACAAGTGTAAGAATAGATGTCTGGCTCAAACCCAAACCTTTGTATCTCAAAAAAAAGATTAAATGCATCCTCATCTTTACCATGCTCTAGGTAAGCTGCTAGCATGGAATTCCAGGTAACCAAATCTCGGGTGCCAACAGCACCATCAAAAACCCGTTTAGCATCTTCCAAAGAACCACATTCTGAATATGCGGTGAGTGTAGCATTAGACAAAGCATTATAAAGTTCAAGGCCATGTTTTATAATCTTACAGTGAAGCTGCATCGTCAAGTTATAGAACTTATCATTGTCAAGCAATGTCAAAAGCGGGGCAAATGTGCCATCTTCGACCCTAACACCTTCCTTCTCCATACAATCTAATAGCCAAAAAGCGGTGTCACGGTCGCCCACTTGCACAAAGCCATCGATGAGTGCATTCCACGAGACAAAAGTACGCATTGGCATGCCTTGAAACACATCATAAGCATCTTCAACTCTCTCACACTTGGCATACATGTCCAATAAACCGCTACCTGCATAAACATTCCGTTGATAACCAGTCTTAAGAATCAAGGAATGCACTTGTTGCCCAAGATCATGTCGACAAGCATGAGCTACCCCTTTAAGTATACTTCCAAAGGTATAGCCATCAGCTTGAAAGCCACGTCTTTTCATGGATTTTAGAAACTCCCAAGCAGCACCCAAGTTCCCAGAATCTACATAGCCAGTGATCATGGTGTTCCAGGTAACGGTGTCTTTCAGAGGCATTTCGTCGAACAATTTGCAAGCAAGACTTAAGCCTACGAAGTCGCATTTTGAGTATCGACTGAGGATGTTGTTGGCAACGTAAATATGTGCAATGTTTCCTGATTTGACGGCCTGACAATGGGTTATGAAAACGTTGTATAAAATGGAAAAAGAGCAGGGAACTTGCTGACTCCTCATGCAAGAGAGGTCAAGTTAAAACAAGGTGAAGGATATGGCTGAAAACAGAAATAGATTGTGGAGCAAATGGAAAGAATAACGATAATTTGGTTACCTGCTATGATTTTTTAAGAAATCAACTATAAAACTGGCGGTAATCAACTACGAAAGAGTAATAGTAGTAAAAGGTAAAAGTGGGAATGTTTGAAGGAGTATAATCAAATGGAACAAATATTAATTAAATTCTTTTGATAAGAAACATCTACTTAAATTTTTTTTGCGATCCATCTTATGGCATGTGCATGGTTTGAGCCAAAGGTAGTTTTAACACTTTCTAGCAAAATAGCAAATCTGAATCTAGGTTTTTGAAAAGCATAACTTTGAAAAGAAAGGTTTTCACTGGTGTTATAAAAATGTGAACGAAATAAAGAGTAGTTTATGGTGTTGAGGTATGTAAAGATAAACCTCAATTTCTCGATTCATAAGCTTCACGAGAATTTAGTAGAAAAGGTTCTACTGTGTATGATATAATCTGCAACAGGCCACACTTCTTCCTCTTCCTATATCAAAAACTTCTAACAACGTCTATTTCACTACAAGATAAATGGTAAAACAAAACATAAAAAGCCTGTGATATTCAACTCCAACGTACTGAAAACGGAGACAAAATCAAGATTACGCCCTCAGCTTTTCTTCTACTTCTTTTCGTTTATGCCGCTTCATTATGCTCAGAGCTTTTCTCACACTTCTTTTTTCTTAGTTGTTTCGCATAAGGAAGCAAGGGAAAATCATCTCTTCATTTGTAGTATTGCTGCTGACAACTTAATTGACACCCTCTGTCTGTCATTACACTTACTTCACCAGCTGCACAACTGTTTCTGCATTCGTGAATTTTGGGAGGATTTGCCACCCTTGTCTTTGTAAGTGTTTCTGGATGCAAGACTCCTCCGCCCCCCACGAGCTGCTGCTACTGCACGTCTTCTCTGCTTGTTTAGACTCTTGTTCAGTTCAGCATCATTTTCATTTGCACTCTCATCATCTTCTTCCTGGAAAATGAAACTGCTATGAGAGTTTTGCACATATAATAATTAAAAAGAAAATGAAAAGAAGAAGAAAGAAAGAAAAGGAAAGGACAGGGGAAAGATCAATGTCAAGTGATATCCTTTTATACAGCACAGCAGTACTTTAATTTTTTACAGTGGAGAGCAGCGAACAAATTCATATCCTTCTTTTCACCTTGAGGATCAAGTAGAAACAAAAAAGGTAAAGAAACATGATGATATACACAGTTAAATACATTTCTTCTTTTTCTTCACAGATTAGATGAAAAGTAGTGTCAAATTTCCCAAGTTTCGATGAAAAATAGTATGGGATCCAATGCCAATGATGCCATTTTGCTTTACGGTGATATCAGAATATAAGACATATTTCCTTTTTGGGGCATTTACTGAGAAACGGGAAGAAATAGAACTATTATGAGTCTAGCATATGGTTAAACGTTATCTAGAAGATGCAATTCAAAAGAAATAAAATGTGCCACAGAACAAGAAACTAAATGAAGAGACCATATGCTAACAGGAACAGTTAGGATGTAATATTAGGTGCATTCAAACTGGATCCACAAGCTCAACAATCAAAGCCTGTAAGCTCTTGGACATGGATGGATGCAAAGCCACAATTAACACTATAATACCAACCCCTAAAGAATGCAGGCCACATATCATGTCAAACATCAGAGCAATATAAGAAATTCAACAGCAAGCCAATAGCTTGAATTCTACCTTCTCGCTGTCATCTTCAGTTTTGGGGCCATTATCTTGACCTGCTTCACTGCTCTGTTGCTTCACCTCTACTTTGCCCTCCTCGTCAGAGTTTGAAGTTCGCTCTTCCTGAAAAGCACTTATTCTTAATAACTGCAGTATTCAATGCAGGAACATGCTGGACATAAAGTACATAACAAATAGACAAAAACCAATTATATATTGAATGCAGGTATGTTCAAGTTGAATCAAATTAGATCTAAACTTTAAACTGCAGGCCTGGAATAAAAATCTGGGCATCCTACCTAAAGCCTGATATTAACCACATTTAGATTGGTCAGCTTTGCATATTGAATCAATCAAAGAAACTTTTGGCCCTACATATCTTCAACATTGGTCATATGGCCTCCTTTTCCTTATGACATTGTTCTCCATAACTTGCCCATTTAAGATTTTTTTTCTTGTATGGCATGGTAATTATATTATGTTTCTCCAGTCTCTCTTACTAAAGCCATTTATAGAAATTTATGAACCTCAAAAAGGGCTTTGGCTTGTTAGTCTGTAAAAGGCTTAACACAAAGTACACAATCCACAACAGAATGGCTTTATCAATCAGAAAATCTTTCTAGTTTGTCAAAGGGGTTTACAGTTTACTTCCCCTTTTTGGTCCAATTCAGATTTAGACAAAAAATTAAACCGAATCTTGATCTTTTATACTAATCTTTTCTTGATGATTATTGATTAACCATCATTAGCAAAAGACTTCAATTTCTTATCATACCTAAAGAATATGCAAGAATCCAAAAACCACATCCAAATGGGTCAAAACAACTCCCTAACTGGCACAGCAAATTTTGTTTTTCTGTACCCACAGATAATGCAATGTCTACTACCAGTCTTTCTGATGAAGCAATAGAGCTCAACTAAACTCAGTTATATCAAGAGCTTAAAGCCTCAATTTGTAGCAAACTTCTAAGTAACATCACTTACACTGGGTAATGTTACTAAAAGCCAAGAAAAAATATACCTGCTCCTCCACGCGCAAAGAATTTAAACCCTTGATGTTTGATTCCCTTGACTCAGTAAACTGTTCATCTTCAGTTTCCTCTCTGTCAGAACCTGTGTCCTCTACACCCTCTTCAATGAACTGCAAAAGAATAGAATCTCATTCAGAGATGTAATGTAAAACCATGGGTGAGAATTTTATTTGATTATGCATGCTATCCCAGAACTAAAACACAAGTGTACTACATGGAACATCAAAAACTGAAACCTAGAAAACAAAATGTAATTTGGAAACCAGTAACATCGAGTGTATTCAGAATTCTTAAAATCTATAAATACACAAGAGTTTCACGTTATATCATAGATATGGAATGTCCTATCTTCCAACAAGATGTGGTAACAGAGACAATATGGAAGAAGCATCACATTTTTAGTTGATGAGACCAAAACAGAGGGGAAAGTTAAGACTGTACAGACTGGGGAGAGAAAGACAGAGAGAGAGAGAGAGAGAGAGAGAGATAGAACTACAGTGAGATCCAAGAAAAGTAATGTTCATAAAACCGTCTAAAAGATGCACCTACAAATTTGTATTTGAAGAGGGAAAATGACAACAATTCATGCTCGTGAGTAGATAATTGTTGCTGACCTAGGTGGGATGCAGGGAGCTTTCCAAAGGGATTAGAAGTTGATGTGTGCCTATCAAATATTAAAGGTGCATGACACAAAAGCTTGAAAAACTCAACAACCTGTTGTCATGATTGCTCGGGGGAAATACAAGAAAACAAAATAAAACATCCCACCCCCATATGGCAATGTAATGAAAAATGCTTCAACATACTTTATCAATGTCCTCCTGATCCTTCCTTGTAAAGCCACTAGCGGCGAGTTCCTTGTCAAGAAAACCAGCAGTTTTGGATATTGAGGAAAAGGAAGGCCAGACAACTTCGTCCGTGTCTACATCAGAACCATCATTATCATCTGTGTTTTCTTGAAAGGAGAGATTAAACCTGGGGGGGTTAGGGATTGTTAAGAACGAGAAATGCATATGGTTAGGGAAATTCTAGAATATTCCAGAAGGCAAAAGGCTATCCAAAGTTAACTAACTAGCTGTCGAAGTTTGGAAGATCAAATTAAGCAAAATAAGCACCAACTGACCTCTTCCTAAAAAACTTAAAGATGCATTCAGCATCACGGTCGAAGTACCTGAGAAATGAGAACGTATTAAGGTATCAGTTATTGCATCCAACACATACTTCACAGAACCAAAAATAAATTAAGTATATTAGTGTGATAAATTAAATTGATCAATAAAGATGAATTCACATGGTGATGAAGAAGGAAGAAAAATCAGTACATTTGTGCATTTCGATGAGATACAGAAACCATCTGGGGAAAATCAATCACGGTCACATTCTCTTCATCATCAATCTACAAAGCATAGCAATTCAAGAGGGAAATAATAGCAAAGAACAAAAATGTTAGATTAAGACGATAACAGCAAATAGCTCCATGTTATCAAGTTGGCATCAAACGCATACCATAATGTTAAACTCATTGAAATCACAATGAATAAGACCATGCTCTGCGAAACGAACAATAATACCAAGTATTGTCTCAAAAACCGTTTCTGGATTTTGTAATTCCTTCACCTGGACACTGATTACACAAAAGCATTCAACAATCCATTACTAACAGGGGAAAATTTTTCATTTTTATTTAACATTACATTAGAGAAACAAGGAGCAAACAACACTCACAGTGGATAACCTTGAACAAGTGACATGATCACACAATGCCTGTTGCAATCAACAGCTTTCGGAACTGGAAACCCATTCTCTTCCAAAGCCTAACTCAAAAAATAACCGAAACCCATTATTACCGAATACAAATACAATACAAATATCTACGTGATGAAGCTAAATTCTTCTAAAAATTAACAAAAATCATAACAGCCCAGTACACTAAAAAGGAAAAAGACCAAAGAAAAAAATCATTATCACCGATTAAATAATGCAGCACAAATTCTACACAGTAAAGATAAATTATTTATAAAAACCAGCAAAATTCAAAGCAACCCATTACAATACAACATAAATTTTTCGAGAAAATAAAGCTTTACCTTCATAAAGGCGAATTCCTTTAGAGCAGCGAGTCTTGACAAGTAAAGCCAATTAAAACTAGAGCGATGCCTCAAATAATCTCTCTTAGACTTAACAGCTCTGAAAGAAACCCTGCCAAGCCGATGCAACTTCATAGCGAAAACGGTACCGTCTTCAGCAGCAACCTCATAAATATCAGATTCTTTACCAGTCCCCAACTTACGACCAACACTGGCAATGACACCACGATTCGCAAGGGTTTTGATGGCGAGGAAATCGTAGCCGAGGTAAGTGAGACGGAAACCGTCGTATTTGGAAGAATCGTGGTGGAGAAGCTTGTGTTTGAGGAGGTTCTTCAGGACCTTGTAAGTTCCTCCGTGTTTTAGAGAAGCTATTCGGTCTATTAGTTCGGCTGGGACTATTTCGTGGTTTCGCATCCCCATCTCCACGGCAGTTAGAACCCTGAAGTCGTCCTTTGAGAGGTAGCGTAATATCTCGACGTCTAGCTTCATCTTTGCAAAATCAAGAGACAAATTAATCAAACACAGCCGCTGTCGTCGTCTACTACGGTAGCAATCGCTCGGTCTCTGCTACAGCAAGTAAACTATCACAAGAGGAAGAAAAAGAAGGAGAGGCAACTTGCCTAGTACTTAGTAGAGACCAGGGCTCTTGATTGGTGGGTTGGGCTGCACTTTATACTGGGCTCTTCCTACTAAAATCTTTTCCTTTTTCTTGTGCAATATATTTTTATTTTTTTTGAATGGATTTTATTTTATTTTTAAATTAGAAAAATCAACTTCATATATATATATATATATATATATGTTTTGAGGATAAGCTTTAATTTTAAAAAAAAGTAGTTTAAATTTTTATGATCTTTCAAATCTCTAAATCAGCTTTAAAATTTTATTTTACTGGTGGGTGAGGGATGATTTAATTGAAATTTTAATCAAAAAACAACAAATGAAAAATCAAATAAAATATAAAATATATTATCTTCAAAACTCTCTCAAGAATAATCGAATAAAAGATAAATGCAATGCTCAAAGTTTTTATACATACATATATATATTTCAGCATGTAGCATGCAAAATTTTAGTATTCAATTACTGAAACTTCAAGTTTATAACAAATGCCTAATACTGTGATTCTCGTAATTATTACTTTTGATCTTGTGTAAAGACGTAACATCATGGTAAAATTCACGCATAAAAACAGCCACCAATCCATTCATGCTTCAAGTTGTCTCTCTTAAAGCAAACACACCTTGTGCATCATTTCATTTCTTCATGTGAAATATGAAAAAGCAAGTGGTTTAACTGGGCACCGCCTATAAATTATAACCAGAGACACCACCATCTAACCCGAAACAGCAATGCATAAATTGCAACTTTTCTCTCCAACACAACCTAGATAGAAGTTGCAAATCTTACATTTCGAAATATAAAGCATAAATTATCTTATCACAGGTCACATGGTCTATGGTATATGGTGTACGACAAGGAATAATAAACCCCAAGACAAGACAAATTAGACGAGTCTAATGCCACTTTCTTGAGCCTAATCCCAAGAGCAACTTGTGCTATTCAATGCGACTTGGAGCAAAGGACGACATCAGTGAAAGCAGATGTAGTTTCGTCATTCCTCCGCAGCACTGGCAGCACTTAAATCCACAGTGAGGTCAAGAACCTGAAAAGAATGATGAGAATTAATTACAACGTGGATTCCAGAGAAGAAAAAGTGACAAACCAACAAGAAACAAGGCCACTGTATGCAATTATCTTTAAAGCAGCTTTGGAAAATTATCACCTTTCATGCTCAATTAGGATCTGATTCGAATATTGTCAGCAGTTCAATTTTAAAGCATGAACATAATTTAAACTAAACTGCCAGTTTAGCACCCCATCCAACGTTCAAGCACAAACTTTTGTTAGATATTTCCCCTTGACACAACCCACTCATATAACTCCCACCGCTCAATGGTATGCACATTAGCAAAAATACATGCCAACAAGAGATAGAATTCAACAGTGCATGGTTTTCTTAGGGCACGTGATACTTTTTATGTGAAGTTAAGCTGATTAACATCGCAAGTGTGTACATAACAGAGTAGCAGCTAATAATATCACGAGTCCATCTTGACGGTAGAGCTTCTTCACATTAAGTGTTTTCACACATACTCCAAAAAGGAGAGTGCAATCTTACCTTTCCGGTTATCATGGTATACATGTTCAGAACATCCGTGACAGTTGACTCAAAGTGTGTTGTAGCATCATAACTCTGTCGAAGATTAACGAACTCAATTAGGGTGCATTCATAAAGGTAAGGTGAAGCAACGAGATCAAAACTAGCAGAAGCATTAGCATTAAGAAAACAAAAAATGCACTCACCGTTGAAATAAAGCAGTTGTCCAAAGTAGGTTCATTGACTGGTTCATATCTGTCATAAATATCAAAGAATATCTCATCAACAGGACCTAGGAGGTCAATTCCAGGCTTCAATTCAACCTCAGGATGATCAGTCTCTGCGTCCGTTGATACAAATGCAATGAATTTGCCCTTTGGAGCAACATTGTGAGTATAAGAACAACAGAAAAGGTACCTGCTCCACACAGAGGCATCACAAAAATTTAGCACAGACAGAGGCAACATCATTTCTTCCAGCAGGTTCCCCTTTGAATAGACCATTCAATTGGGACAAGGGATTCCACTACACCCCACAGAAGTCCTTACCCATAAAAGAGAAACTAAACTTTCAAAGATAGTCAAAAAATGATAAAAGAATGAATCCATTTTAGAATTCCGTGAAAATTCTAGTGACCATTTACAAAAGAAAAGAAAAAAAAAACCTAAACTACAAAAAATAAGAACACATACAATGCAGCAGACAAGAGACTTAACTGTGATGTGCAGCAAAAAACAATTCGATCTTCCTAAATTAACCATCTTTAATTAATAGTCAACTCACATGCTATGTTTACATTACCAAACAAACACAACAAAAATGTTGGCTAATATATGATAAATAATAAAAATAGGTATAGGGGAAATATTAACAATTATAATCCTTCGATTTTTTAAAAAATAATATGGGATTGGAAAGGAGAATATATGTTCAACTGATCGAGTATCTAGAACTCACATGTCTGATCTGCGACCCAACTGCTTTTGTGGCAGGATAACCTGCACTGAATGAGATTCATCGGTGCTTGGTATCGGGTGGCTCATAATGGCAATTGCCCTTGCAACCTTACCAACCTTCCTAACCTGTTCAAATGCATGCAACTTTCTGTAAATAGTGGAACATTCAGTTTTTATCTTCAACACATACATATACACAAACAGAGAGAGAGAGAGAGAGAGAGAGAGAGTCTGGCTTAAATAACTATTTATTTTGTCCACCACACCTTGTTGGGCAAGTAGGAAGGATCACAGACAACTTTCTTGCACTTGGCAGTTTCCCCTTCTGATGTGACACCAGCAACTTTGCCTTCCTCGTTAAACTCCACCTGGAATTAGAGCAATTTGCCACTTTCATGTTATATTTCCAGTCTAACACAACAATTATATGCACACGCATTTTTCTGAGAGTATATAAGGTGATGCAATTACACAAGAAAAAGCATATCAAATATCAGAAACATAAATAAGTACCTTGCACTGAGGTTTATTCAACATGTATGTGCCTCCATAAACAGCACTAAGCCGTGCAAATGCCTGAGTGGAATAACATATGCAAATAAATGTCATTGTTACAGTATATAACAAAGCTAGTATGTCGAGACAGATGGAGAAAGAAGAGGAAGAGAGGAAGGGAGAGAGAGAGAGACCTGTGGGAGCTCTCCTAAACCATACAGAGGGTAAATATATGGTGATCCTCCTTGAAAACGGGCAAGAGACTCCGCATATAGCTATCGCATAATCAGGATGAAAATTTTCAAAAACAATTCATAAAATCAATAATTTCAATAGTACCAGAATTCAAACCATTCATAACGAAACTTAACTATAGATTTTGAAAAATTATCACCTTCATCCTCTTAACGGTATCCAGTGCAGGTTCATTCAGGTAGCGATCGTCTCTATGCAGTGCCAATGAATGACCGATGAAGTCTATGGTATTCTCGTCAAGACCATATTTTCTGACAAAAAGTCAACTGTATAATAAGAAACAAAAGTGCTCACCAAGTTTATTGTTGAATACAGATTGACTTGCACTAATTAGAATAACCTATAAGATATTTCCCAAAGCAAAATAAAGGTGTTGAGCAAAACATGATGACCCATCAAAACTGCAGTTTAGCATAAGAAAGGAGCATGCAAAGAGGCGTGTGTGCAATATAAGCCATGGGCAAGAGCATACGCAATCAGTTCTCTGGTAGTCACTCTAGTCAAATCCATTCCCTCGTGTGTTTTAGGATCAGTTTCTTCGTAGTTCTGGACATATATGAAAAACTTGCGAGCACGGCGCTTTTCAAAAATACCCATGAGAGGAGATTTGAGTGCCTCCATATCAGTTGCAGGCACCTTGTGGACCTATTACAGTAGTTTGTACCAAGGCTTTGAGTTAAAAACATGTCACAATAGAAACTAAAGTGATTGATCAACCTCTACGAGCTTGAAAATAAGTATACCTTTCCCTTGTTGAACACAAAGCTACCATCCACTGCTTTGAAGTACAGATACTTGGTAACATCTGTGTGAATGAGGACACGTACAAGATTGCCATTTGCCATCATAAACTAGCCATGCAATAAAACATCGACAAATCAGTAGAAATTAAAAAACAACAAATTCAAAAAAAGAATAACTGGTCGAATATCAGGAAGCAGAGAAGCAAAGTGAGAAATAAACCTTAGGAACCATGTCAACATTATAATCCCTACTTGAGCCCAGATGTGCTGGAGGCTTATCGTTTCCCCTGAACCTCTTCCAGAGCTGTAAATAAATCAATTCACAATCAAAATCAACTACTCGCAGCAGTAGTAGAAAAACGGTGAATGATTAGCAAATACAGATCTCGAATAGCAAGTACGACCTGAATGAGGTTAAGGGACGCAGACTCTCCTCCGTAGTAGTCATTCCTATCCATATGCAGGACCTGGCTTGCAAAGACATGCACAAAACATAATCATGTTAGTATCAATAAATACAATCTTACAAGTGCATAAAATCCAAAATGATCCAAACAAAGAAGAATGGTGTCAAGAGGAGAATAAAAAAGATAATATACAATTATTTGCAGTAATTCCATGCAGACAGATCTTTTTTCTAAACATGCATCTCAAAAGTCAAAGCAAGGATGGTCGTAATTGAAGTAAAACACAAAACACAATAAGCTAGTAACAAGCGATTCGATGAAAACCCATTTCAAAACTTCCCGTACGAAACTAAATAACCAGAAATCAATCCCTTTTTCTCCAAAAAGATGAGTAAAGTTTGCATTTTTTTTAATCAATCAACAGATAGCTCCAGTAAAGCCAAAGTCTTTGCGAATCCAAACACATAAAAGATCATCAAATGTTAACAATCAGCTTGATCTGTGTGTGCAAAACAAAACCCTGATCTAAAAAAGATAGGAGTATTCAAAAATGAAACGATACAGATCCATCAGATACCAAACTGGCAATAAGACAAGAAAAGGAGAAAAAACCCGACCTTGAGGCCATCAACGGAGAGAAGCCCACTGAGGATGCATTCCTTGAGACCAGTACCCAATACTATCACATCATACTCTTCATCCATGATTCAGATCGACACAATATTTTCTTCTTTTTCGGGGAGTCTAGGGTTAAAGATAGGTGGAGAGATAGAGAGATACACAGACGAAGAGGAATAAATAAGAAAGACAAGAAAGCAGCGTGGGTAAACGAGATAGATACTGCTTTTGTTTAATGCTGTCTCACTGGTTAATTAGCAAATAAAATAAATAAAAACTCCAAAGAAAAGCAAAGCAAAGATACTTTGTTTGTTAATTCAAGGAAAGGAAAACCTTCCTTACCAAGCGAGCCATTCCCATTTAATGATGGTAATCATAAATTAGTAATAGTAATGGGTCGGGTGGAAACCCACTTTGTATCCATTTTCTCTCTATCCGGACAATTTCATGACCATTGCTTACGTCCAATCCGGTTCTATTAGGACCGAATAGGTGGAAAAGTCTTTTTATCCGTCGAGCATGCAGTGAACACGTACCCCAAAATTTTTTTTTTTCAATTCATAGTTAACATATATTAATGTTAGATGTTGATTGAGAATATGAAAACAATCTATCAAATATCATTTGTTTCGTGATTAATACAATTGCATGTATGAATTATTCAAGATCTCGTGTTTACCGTTTGTTAAATAATTTGTACGAGGTAATTCCTAACTTTAAAGTGTGTAATCGAGTCTTAAAACTATATATATATATAGTTTGGCCGTTTGATTTATACAATGTGCAATTAAATATAGTTTATGGCTCAATTTATTTTTGTATAAATTAAATTAATTTTATTTTTAAATTTATATTAAGTTTTTAATATATATTTTTTATAAGATTTTTAAGTCAAATTATCAAAATTAATCATATAGTTTGCACAAAATTATTCCGGAATGTCCTTACAAGTGAGACAATCGAAAGGTTTTTATATGCAAATTACGTTACTAATTCTGATGGTTTATTTTAAAAATCTTTTCATAAGAATAAATTTTAAATTTTAAATAAAATTGATTTAATTATATATATAAAGATATATTGGATAAAAGACACACATTGAATTGATTTAAATTTTTTAATTCTTTCATCAATGTAATATTAGAGATGAAGTTTGCGAGGTACATGAGCAATAATAGTTATAATTAATAACAAAATAAGATATTCACAAGAAATTAAAGGAAAACATATCGTTAGGGCTGAGGTGAATGGAATCCTTCGAATTAGGAGTGATCATTAAGTTTTTTTTGTTTGATTTTTAACATTTCGATTTTTGGTTAATTGATCTTAGAAAAATAGAAACCAAATCCAAACCAAATTATCATTTATTTTTTCAATTTAAAAAGCAATTTTTGGTTTTTTGGTTCAATCTTTTTTTTTATTTTAAAAAAATAACATAAATAGACCAAAAAACACCATCATTATATAAAAAAAAATCAAATCCGAACTGAATTATTATTCATTTTTTTAGTTTAAAAAATAAAATTTTGATTAAGCAGTTTTTTTAAAAAAAATGTAAATAGACTAAAAAAAACCATTAAACCATCATATATCTATAATAATATCAAAATATTATTTTTTATTTATTTTTGTTATTTTAAAATTAAAAAAAAAATCAATTTTTGGTTTAAACTGAACTAGAATAAGAAAGCCAATAAAAATTCGATTCGATTTTCTTAAAAAAAAAATGAATTAAGAACAGTAACCAAAATTTATATTTTGATTTGATTTTTCAATTTAAACCGAACAGTTTTGCCCCTCTTTCAAACCTTTAATTGTTGAAACTACCAGGACTATTTTTTGTTGGCAATAATACACGCATACACATTTTTTAATATTTTCTTCTTTTTAGACGACTAATATTTTAATTACATAAAATAATTGCTTTTGAATTAATTCATTTAATCGAACGATGGAAACAAACAAAATAATTTGTTTTTTCTCTTTTTTGGCATGTAAGAGAATACAACAAATTCTATTATTTTTCAAGATTGTTATTTTTATAATAAAGTATATATTTTCTCTTATTTATCATCTATATTTATTGTGTCATAATTTACTATAACTCTATGCATAAACTAAACTCTATTGATAAGTTAAAAATTATCTTTAATACATTTGTAAACATTATTATTTATACTAAGATGAATAATAGAAGTAGAATATTAAGCTGCAATTTTATCTTTTATACCAGCTTTTTTTGTTCAATATCTAAACATGGTATTTCAATAAGTTTAAATATTCTCCTTTTCCTCGATTTCTTGATCGCATGATCTTGTTTATTGATAAAACGTCTCACCCTTAGAGAGCGTGCACTCGTCATGCCTTCATTTTCTCGTTAAGAAGAAAATAATTGGAAAAGTTATTGGACCATAGAGGTGCAACATCGGAAGCTAAGCAAGAAGTGTCAAAATTGTCAAAGGATTAAGGTAGATTAAATTTGATCGGTTATGAATGAATTACCAATATGCTAACATTGGTAGAAAAACCACCACTTTTGATTTGAAGCTAATGAACGACAAGCATATAAGAAGAGTAAGAAATGATGAAACTAATTTCTAAATCTCACCTGCTAATGAACGACAAGCATATAAGAAGAGTAAGAAGGGTAAATTTCACTAGGTTTATCCATGAATTGTGCTAAAATATGGATAGAATAAGTGATATATGGTCTAGTGAAGGTGAGATATAATAATTTCCCCACAAGTCGCTTATACATGGTAGGATTTGCTAGCTTATTCTCATATGTTCTAATCAATCTATGGTTAGGATCTATAGGAGTTGAAACAAGTTTTGCTTCCAAGCATGCCAAACTCTATTAAAAGATCCGAGTATACTTTATTTGATACAAAAAGATTCTTTTAGATGATGTAGTTATTTCAACCTCGAGAAAATATTTCATCCGTCCCAAATCTAAGTAAACCTAATATGATCATTAACAATTGTTAAAAAATATTGATAACCACCTATAGCAGAAGTGGAGTAAGTCCCAAAATATCCATACGTATAAGTTCAAAAGGGATAGAAGTATTTTTGAGACATGGAGGAAAAGGTAATCTCCTTGATTTTGCCAATGGACAAACGGTACAAATTGTGTTGGGATTATAATGTATAGAAGCATATATATGCTTAAGAGAATTTATTCTACCGTAAGGGAATGACCCAATCCGTAATGCCAAGTATCAAAGTCTCGAACAAGTAGATAGATTACTAACACGAGAAGCAGAGATCGACGAAGGAGGTAATGATGAGCAAGACAACATATGAAGACCGGATCGCATCTTAGCAAGCCCAATCTTGGTCTTGGAATGGAGATCCCGAAGAATACAATGATCACCGATAAACAATAAGTTGTATTGCCGATGTTTGGTAAGTTGATCGACAAACAGGAGATTAAAGGTAAAAGCAAGTAAAAATAGAACATTATACGAGATAATGTTGCCATTCGAGATTACAAGTGCTACAAAAAATAGGAAATGTATGAGTATTATTAGGCATTTTTACCGCAGTATCTATTATAGGATAATAAGAATCAAATAATTACAAAGAACATGCTTTATGATCGGATGCATTAGTATCCACGATCCACTCGTGCGAGTTTAACAAGATAAATGAATTACCGAAAAAATTATTCGGGTAAGATATATGAAGAATGGAAGAAACGAGATATATTTAAGGCAGAGGTTTGTGTATGATTTAATGGTGAGAAAGTGGAGATGTTATTAATTGATGTAGACAATTGTTATGAAATATCCTTATTAAGCTGAGAGGTAAGTTTATGAGCTTGATCTTTAGACAAACCAAGCCGAGACATAATATTGCCAAACGAATCACCACCGGATATAGTATTATTCACTTCGGTTGAACAAAACCAATAGTATATCTATTCGAAATTCCATGAACATAATTCACACTATTAGCATGAGATTGTTGATATCTTTGTTGCCCTCCCTCGTATTTGGTGAACTTGAAATGAGATGGAAAACCAATAATCCCGTAACATTTTTCTTTATTATGACCTAGTTTCTCGCAACGAGAACACACTTTATCATTCCGAAACCATTTTTTGTAAGGACTCGGTATCGCCATGGCCGATGTTTCGTGAAAGGTTAAGAAACCAACTGAAAGGATCTCCGAGACTCGCTCGAAGAACAAGATTGAACACTTCATCCATGGTAGAAAATGGCTTCATCATAAGGATTTGAGAACGAACGAGCAGTGAATGAATCATTTAATCTATTAAGGTAGCGAAAAACATAATCTTGTTGTTGTTGAGTAGCAAAGATTTAAAAACAAGTGTCTTTACATGCACCACACTTGCAATGAGGCACAGGTCAATAATTTATAAGTTCTTCCCACACACCATTCAACTCATTAAAGTATCATTAATGGATCGAGCTCCCTAAGTAGTAGTGCACAAATTCAATTGCAAGTTACGGATCATAGCATCAAACCTTACTTTTAGTGTGTCCCAAATCTTCCGAGCATAATCCATGTAAAACACAAGTACTAGCAATCGGTTGAGACAGAGACTTTAGCAACCAAGCAATAATCAAATTGTTGCATCCGTTCTAAGAAGAAAAAAAAGGATCTCCGGGATCGAGTCGAGTAATAGATCCATTAATAAAGCCTTCCTTATTGTAAACGGATAAGGCTAATAAGAAAGATCTACTCTAAGAAACATAATTAGATGTTGTGAGCTCGAGTGTGATGACAACAAGTATTGTGATGCTCCGAATGATGAAGAAATAAAGGAGAAAGAGGATCTTCGACAGTGAAATCAAAGATCCAATAAAAGAGGAACCGTATGACATTGTTGAATCTCCGAGATGCTCGAAATCAAGACCAATAGAAAGAATCGAAAGTATAGATGCAAAGAAATCCGTGACTATAATTGAAAAATGTTGAGAGAATAAAAGGAAATCGAATAAGAAAGGTGTTTGGGAACCGAGAAAGTGAAAGAAAGTATGAAAAAATAACCGTTATAACCATAACTCTTATACAATATAAGAAAAGTAAGAAATGATGAAACTAATTTCTAAATCTC